TCGCAAGCCAAGGACCGGCCGTTGATCGTTGCCGGCGACTTCAATGCGCACAAACAACGTTTGGGGCTACAGTACCAATGACAGGAAAGGTCTTAACCTTGCGGAGTGTGCAAACAACCTCAACTTGAAGTTAATCACGGACTCAAGGTTTCCGACACGCAGAGGCAATTCAGTTCAGCGAGACACCACCCCCGACCTGACGTTCCTCGGAAACGCGGAAGGGTCATGGGACAATCTGCAAGAGGACCTTGGCAGCGACCATTTCATCTTAGAAATCAACGTCCGTATCACACCCGCTCCACCTAAGACGTACAGATACGTCGACTGGGACCTTTTCCGAAGAATAAGGGGTAGCGAGGACAGCCAAGGGGAAACCTTTGAAGAGCTTCTGGAAAATCTGAAAAGTACGGTGGCAAAAGCCACTAAAGAAATAACCTTGGACCTGGAGGTTCCAGTCATGGACTCCAGACTCGCACACCTCCTGGAGGCGAAGAATGCGCTAAGACGACGATGGGAAAGCAGAAGCTAAACAGGAGGCTGCGATCTAAACTAAGGGAAATAAACAAAAAAAATCGAAAGAACATTCCAGAGAGCTGAGTGCGCAACAATGGGATGAGGTTTGTAATGAGGCGGATGGTAAAATGAGACGGGGAAGCAAGTGGAGCCTCCTCAAAAACCTATTCGCCGACAGCAACAAACCGACCAAGAGCAATGCTCGAATAATGCTCGACAGACTCGTCCACCTGCACACGATTGAAGGCACTAGTCCTCAGGACTTTGCTAACACCCCTGGCAGACATATACCTGCCGACAGAAAGCAAATCAGTCCCCTGGGACGACCCGGCATGCGAGTACAAGGGGACACCTCAACGCGCACTGGATCGTCCATTCGAGGTCTCAGAGATTGTGCACGCCCTTCATGGCCTTAACGGCCGCTCGGCCCCTGGTCCAGACGGATTAACTAACAAACTTCTCAGAAACTTAGATAACCAAGCCATACAAATCATTACAAAGAAAATAAACGAGGTATGGACGGCGGGCCGCGTACCGGATGAATGGCGAACTGCCAATATAATTCTCATCCCCAAACCCGGAAAACCGCTCCATGCCGAGAACTTGAGACCAATATCCCTTACTTCGTGCCTCGGAAAGGTCGCCGAACATGTCATTCACAATAGAATTGCAGAGCACATCGAAGCAAACAGCCTTTTTCGCCACAATCTCATAGGATTCCGAAAATCACTATCAACACAAGATGCCATGCTCCTTATCAGGAGTGCTGTGATAGACAATAAATCACGGGACGTAAAGGGCATCCTGGCGCTCGACATAACGAAGGCCTTCGATACGGTCAGGCACGAACATATCCTCAACGAAATCTCCAGTTTACATCTCGGAGAAAAATTTCACAACTATGTCAGATCGTTTTGGCGGACCGTACGGCTACCATAAACATCGGACAAATCAGAAGCCGTAAGCACAAGCTGGGAAACGTCGGCACCCCCCAAGGGTCAGTGCTTTCGCCACTTCTTTTCAACATCGCAATGCACGATCTGGCGAACCGACTCTCGAAAGTTCATGGGGTAGGACACGTGATTTACGCAGATGACATTACCATCTGGTCCACAAGTGGCCCACTAGGCTCTCTGGAGCAGAACCTACAACATGCCCTAGACACCACACAAGCTTTCCTACAAAATACGGGGCTGAAGCTATCTACGAGCAAATCAGAGCTCCTTCTGTGTAAACACGGCCCCAGAAAGGGACAGCTTCTTAGCTCCCTCCCCGTTCACCTACACACCAAGGGCGGAGGTAGTATCCCAATATGTAACACAATCAAGGTCCTGGGCATGGTAGTTGGTGCTTACAGCGGTGACAACGCGGAGGCCCTCAAACGTATAGAGAAAAGTGTCTTCAATTTCACCAGGGTATTATCAAGGGTCAACAGTAGAAGGGCTGGTCTGAAAGAGGACAACCTCATGAAAGCATTTCACGCCTTTCTCATCAGCCACGTGACTTACGCCGCCCCCTTCCTCAACTGGAAGAAGACAGAGCTCAACAAAATTGATACATTAATTCGAACAGGATTGAAAAGGGTCCTGAGCCTCCCTCGCAACACTAGTACGGAACGACTCTTACAATTGGGCCTGCATAATACAGCTACCGAACTCTTTGAGGCACAGCGGCATGCACAGATTAGTCGGCTCTCACTCTCAAAGGCGGGCAACGAGATATTGTTTGAAGCCGGTCTTCAGCCTTTCTTCATGCCGCCAGAAAAGTCCCAACTTTGCACACAAGCCAAGAAAGCGATAACAGTTGACCCGATTCCCAGAAACATACACCCAACCCACAATGAAGGACGAAGAAAAGCGAGAGCCAAGGCAATACTCGCCAAGATCATGTGCAACGATACGCAGGTCCTCTTCGTTGATGCCGCAAACTATTGGAATCGAGGTGCCTATGCAGTCTCTGTGGTGGACGCCCACGGCTCGCTCGTCAACGCAGCCACGGTAGTTACCAACTTCACCCACGAAGCAGAGGAAATGGCCATTGCGCTAGCCCTTCGAAGCTGCACTGAAGCCTCTGTCATTTACTCGGACTCTAGAACAGCTATAAGAACTTTTTCGGCGGCCCTAGTCTCTTCGAAGGCAGCTGCGGTCGTTAACAGGCTTTTCAACCACGAGACGAAGGAGGAAAACTTTCGGTCTACACACATCGCATGGTTCCCAGCCCACATGGGAAACATTTCCGGCTTGCTGGCAACCCAAACGAGCGGGCACACACACTGGCGCGAGAGCTCACTTTCCGCGTCAGTGGTTCGCCCCCTCGCTTAAATGCAGCCTGCAGGAACCTCGATTACAAAGACCCACTTGTATCATATCACGAACTCACCTCACATCATAGATTAGAACGTCGAACTTTCCTCCTCCTCACAGAGATCTGAACAGAGCACAAGCAATCACTTACAGACAATTGCAGACACGTATATACACACACAGCGTTTCTCACGTCTTTACATGATGATCGACTGGGCGAATTACACGGAAGATTCACAGTTTACCGATGAATCCCTCCGGAGCTTCGCCCATTCATCATCATTCACCCCGTGAATATGCCGTAATTTTTTTTTGTTTACAGTGAAAGATGTTACGAGATCACGACAAGAGTCGTGTGTGCCATAGTTGTCCGCCCCCACCGGTGTACGTAACCACTATCGCTCGGAATTAAAAAAAACTAAGTATATAAAAAGTACCAACGACCCTATGGGATTTGAACCCAGGTCCGCTGTGTGCCAGCACAGCATTCTACCTCAGAGTGACGCCGGTGCTTGAAACTCCATGACCTTAGGCAGGCTTGATGTTGGGAAAGGAATCTGGTTAACATGAGTAGTAAAGCTTTTAGAACAGCAAAGCAAGAAAAACCTCGCACAATGCAAATTACAAAACGAGTGTGTTATCGAAAGTTCCAACCCATTACTAAAGCTTCAGGCATAACTCATTGTTGTCAGCAACATCATCTAAAAATTGCACTTTTTTTCGCAAGTTTGTAGTGGTTATTACGCTTCTCCAAAGAGTGACAAAGGACAGCATTGTGAACACTTTTGAATACACAAAAGTTATGATTTCTGGGGTTGTGGATTGGCTACAAGTGTGTTAGTAGCAGAGACCCAAAGAGTGTTTAAAAAAAGGCTCTGAAAGGCCGCTCTTCCAGCTTTACCTGTGACTGTGCTGAGCGCTCCACGTTGGCCTGGCTTAGTTTTTCACAGTAATTTGAACAAGTATCGTGACTCTGTGGGAGAACACCTGCGTGCCACGCAGGTGGTCTGGGTGAGATCTTCACAAGGATTCAGAAATATTTATTTTAGCATGGGCACCTTTCTCAGTGTAGTGGTCCCAGACAAAATTTTTCACTCAGAACCAATGACACTGCCATCGACAGCATTACTGCAAAACGAGCTTGTAGTAAAAAGTTGTCAAAACAGGTTTTTGACGCAGGTATGTTTATAATGAATTAATACAGTGGAGACTGTCGATTAAAATATAGATGTGTAGTGCCATCATCATCATCGTCATTTCTTGAGCACCGCAGCTAGGTCACTCCAACCACCGCGGCGCACCTCTCACGCAGCGGATTCTAGCTTGAGCTGCACAAGAACAGAACAGGTTCATGCGCCTGGCACGTCAAACGCTGGCAGCTGCCACCACTGAGCTTCGACCTGGAGAATAAAGTGGTGAGATTCGGCACAGCCCCGTCAGCTGCCTTCACGACGCTGTCTCGCGTCTCTCTCTCGCTACAGGTGTTCTAAACAAGACTGCTTATATGGCATTCCACACGGTACACCGCGGCACTGCTAAAGGGCCCGAGGGACGCCTTGGTTTAGGGCGACTTCGCTGAAATTGAACAATGACTTAGCATTTATTAGCATGTGCACATGAGCTTTGCCTTCGAAGCATCCACTACACCACAGCTAGTCTTAATTGTATATACTAGATTTGCTATAACAAATACTCGCCCTTTAGTTTGATCCTACTCTCGCATTGCCAAATATGCTCAAGTGTGCAGGATTGTGCTAAGGGCGAAGGTTTCACTCCCGCTTCAAACTTGTTGGGTGGCTCTCGTACCGGTACAAGGCGCCGCCCACCGACACCGACGATGGCTGTCTATCTGTCCCGTACTTGAACACGCTGCCATCTAAGACCTTAGACTGCGTACGCGTAACAGCTTTCTCCCTCGATGGCTGTCTATCTGTGTCATACTTGACCCCACTGCCTTCAAAGGCCCGCGACTGCGTCTGCATTGCAGCTTTCTCCCTAGAGTCGACTCTCATCGCATTGAAGACTGTAGAGCCTGACCTGTGGACCCCGGGCTCGTTCATTGCCACACGGCTTCCTGGTTGCGCTATCAATTTGTACTTCTGTTGAAGTTTGTTTATTACTGTCGCAGGGTCTCCGTCCGTGGGCGGCTCCGAGCTAAACCGCTCGGTGACTTGCCTGACGAACTCAATAGATTTGCAGCCTTTGTTCAGAGGCGATCCGTCGGCCCGATGAAGACGATGAGGATGACAAAGACGATGATTCCCTTCTCTTTCCTCTCGACTTGTGGCGCTTGCCCTTGCTGTCCTTGGACTTGTGGGAACGCTTTTTGTAAGGCTTGCCGTGAGATGAAGAGGATGATGATGAAGATGAAAATGATGAAGACTTGTGGTGTCGCGAAGTTCTTCGCCTCTGTCTCGACGACCGCCTCTCTTCGTTGTTTTGGTCATCGTATGGTCTCTGGAGAGTGCGGGACGACGTTTGACTTCTTGCCGGGCGTAGACTGCTCCTGGCTGTAGCCGCACGGCCTACGTTATCATCAGCGTCCATCACCATGACGTCTCTGCGAATCTTCCCCAGCAATGTCTCGGCGCTATGCTCGCCGAGGTCGTCCTTTATCTTCTGTAGCAGGTCTGAAGCCCTGCTCAAAGAGTGCTTGGGTGGCAGCCTGCTGTCCTCGGTGTAGTCGTCCCTTAAAGGCCCGGTGTTCTCTCGTGACATTGTTTGCCTTCCGTATTCCCGAGGAGCATCTCTCGGCCATTCGGCAGAACCGGACACCCGGGAATCAATATCAGGCCTTCCGTATCCCTCCTGAAAACGTTCTGCACTGTAAGTGCTTGCCATGCCCGGAATCGCCACGCCGTAAGGTGGCATCACAAGTCCATTGTAGCCACCTGGTGTCGACATGTTGAACCCACTGCCCACTATCATTGGTGGTGCCCCACTGAAGCCCGTAGTGGGACCACCATATCCTGCGGCAGAGAAGTAGCCGTACTCCACTCCTGGTGGTGCCATTCCCTTAGTCATCCCAAGTAACATTCCATGGGGGGGAACGCTGCTGTTCGCGGGCGAGCTCTCGATGAACATCTTGCCGCGTACAATGTTCGCACCTATCTGCTGCTCGTACGTCTTCACAGCTGTAACATATTCTCTCTTGTACAACTCGGAAGGCGAACCCTTGACCGTTGCTATTGCACAAGTACCGGGCATCTGGCCAGCTGTCTGCGAAGTGTACTGCTTTTGTGCTGCAAGTTGGGCCTGCTCTGCAAATGCAACAGGTTGACGTGGAGGAGGCAGCGGAGCGGCAGCTAGAGGCGGTGCAGCAGCTGGAGGCAGTGGTGCGGCAGCAGGGGGCGGTGGTGCAGCAGCAGGGGGCAGTGGTTCAGCTGGCAGCATTGGCGCGGCATACAAAGGTGCTACTGGACGACCTGGTGGTGCCGTACCTACTGGCAGACTTTTAGGAGCTGCTCCCGGGTGACCTGGTGGTAAAGGAGCAGGAGGGGCACCTGGACGACCTGGCGGTACGGAAGCAGGAGGTGCTCCTGGTCGGCTTGGTTGTACAGGAGCAGGAGGCGCTCCTGGGTTACGTAATGGTATGGAAGCAGGACGCACTACACCAGCGGGAGGAGCCCTGGGGCGGGGCCCCGTGGGTAGGCGTGGTGGTGCGGCCATCTTGAATGGTACGGAGTCGTCCAAAGACTGGCGGTTTGATTTCGAGCTCAATAAGAGAGTGGTGCCTGTAGCGAGCTCAAGTCGTTACTGCTGCTCCTGTGTTGACAAATGAAACACCAGGATGCTTGCATCCACAGACCTAGGAGATCAAATAAAAGGCCCCCATTACAGAAAGATTCAGTAATTAAATAAAATTCGGAAATATTTAATTCGTAGTATTCATTAGGAATGCATCTCTGATCCCTGTGAGCGACGTACAGCACATAAGCTGTCTTCACCTTTTGAGAGCCATTAGCGGGTAGTCAGCATTTTCATTAACATACTAATGTTCGCGTTTGCATTCGATCCTACGTTTAATAAGGCTAACTTGTACCACAACACTTATACTACACTTGTACCGTCAAAGTGGCCCTGTAGAACTATTCGGCATGGTTAGAAAACGCTGCCGATCGGTAGCCGAAGGTCCTGATAAACAAGTGAACCAAACATATCGACGCAGCAAATGCGCGCACCTGTTCAGACCGCACGGCTGAGGAGGCGGGGCATCTCGTGCTTAGGCGTACGCGTTGCTATCACGTCCGCGTCACCACTGCAAGGCGTTCTGATTGGCTGCGGCAAAGCGGAGTGGCGAGCGGGGAAAAACACGCCGCCGCGCTTACGCCACCAGAAGAAGAGTTTTTCCCGCGTTCGGTTCTCCCGCTATGGCCCCACCGGTTGCACGCGAGGCAAGATCAGTACTTAAATAAATAAAAAAAAATCTGGGGACTATAGACCAAGCGAGTAGAGAGGAGGGCTGCCCACAGCTCTGCTGATTCAAATGCATATCGCTTAAATTATGGCGCGAATCATTCACCCTTCAACACTAGCAGTATACACAATTTTAAAAAAACTGGATCAGGGACGCTTTAAAACCGAGAATGAGAGGTCATATCCCAGAAGTATAGCGCGTGCGCGCGTCGACGCCATTGGTCTTGCTCCATCTTCGTAACTGAGCGCTAAATTATCGGGACATGTCGCCCCATTAAGGCTAGAAGTGCGAGCCCTTGCTGAAGAGCAGACGACTCACTTCCGGAAATTTGGGCGGCCGGCTGCGACAGCTGCGGGCGTCATCTTCCACCGGTCAACTCGGACGCCAGCAGAGACGAACTTCAGGCCCGCCCAGTCTCCACCCGACTAACAGAACTGGCGGCGCGCGATTCTTGTTTTTGTTCTTGTCCACCTATTGTCCGTGGCGCATACCCACTGTGGGGGATTTGCCGAGAATTGAGACGTTCTATCAAGTAATCTGCAGTTTTAGAACAAGAATAAAGACAAGAATTTATTCTTAAACTAGGGCGCGCACTTCACAGACCGCAGGCATTAACCCTACGCCTATTATACAGACACACACGTTCCCGAACCTTGCCAAACTCAACGTTTATTATCCTGATGCATACCCCAGCGACACATGCCCCTCGTGTGGACACACGGCGACCCTCGCAAACATGCTCTGGGAGTGTAGAAACACTCCTCCCGACTCTACCTCAAGCAAGTGAGAGAGGTCCCTCAGGAGCTCACTTCTCGCCGACCAGCAATGGGCTGTCCAGCAGGCCCATGCAGGAAGCGGCCGCCAGGTACTCCCTGTCGGTCCCTACGTGAGAGACGCCCGCTACGCGCGTCCTGCAGGACTGAAATAAAGTTTTTTCCATTCCATTCCATTAGAGCGCGCGATCCACACGCGCGAGCACCCCGATAGTTTCGTTATCTTCGGACGATATCGACATGCGCACCGGGAAAGAAAATAATAAGTGTAACTTTCGTCGTCATGAATAAATCCATTCATGTTTACGATGCTGAGTAATCATCATTGACATTAATGTATTTCATTAGCATAAGATTGCCTGTGCTTTCATCACAAAACGCCCCTTTGACTCTGCCCCGCCTCCACACGGGTTGGTCGATGAACGGACGCAAAACTTTATTGACAGTCCTGGGCGCGCAGCGCGCCGCTCCCACCTAGGAGCAGTCAGGCCGAGCTCTTCCACCCCTCGTGACTCTACCATCGTGGGCTAGAAAATGAAGCGACGGCGTGCTAATGCACAGCTTGCAAAATAGTTACGTACACGAGCACGTTTATTTTCAGCCTGATAGCCTCGACCACAGACTAGCCGGTAAACTATTTTTCCCGTTGGACATTATACCTCGGTCTTTCATTTACTTCTTTACTCCCGTTCTCCTGTAGCACTACCCCAGGCCAATTCGAAATGGTTTCAATGGGATCCAATAGGAAATTTTGAATTGGAAGCAATTAGAAGTTTCTAATTGTGTTTTGAGACACCAATTGGAAAATTCCAGAGGGTTCAATGGGTCATCCTGTTAGGTTTGAATGGGCCTGACCAACATAACCAATTGGTAGCCAATTGACATTCCCAATTGGTGTCAATGGTTTTTTTTGGAACTGGGGAGCCATAGGTGTGCGCAGTGGGTTACCCTTCGGGGGGGGGGGGGGGGGGGGGAAGGTGGAGCAAGTTTGTCGCAGGCCCCCTCCTTTTTCTAGGTATGTTAATGTGCAGGGCTGGCTTTGAGCCCCCCTCCCTTTTAGGTGATGGGGGGGGGGGGGTGACGAGTAATGAGAGGATTTGGTTGGAAAACAAACAAGTCAACTTAGAGGTGTTTCTAAAGCATATGCAAGGTGGTGCTATTTTGAGAAATGTCCATTATTGCACTCTTTTTCAATGTGCTCGCTTTTCTGTATATACATATGGTAATACTCCGATTTCGCATGAACTGGCAAACTCAAAGTGTGGGTAGCCGAGTGAGAAGGATCACGCATCTTCTTCTCACAATAGGCTTCTTTAAACAGTGAAGCTGTTTAAATGGTTTGAATCCCTCAATCATTTTTTGCACTTCGTAGCCCAGCTGCGACAGCGAAGACTGACTAAGGGGTAAATTAAGCTAAGCGGGCGAGAGGAAAGCCCCGTGACGCCACCTAAAGAAACTTATTTTGGGTGGCATTGGTGAAGCCTGGCAACTGTATATGGCTCCTTGACGAGTTAGTTTTCTAAACGTATCATACATAGTTAATGTACTGGCAAAAGAAAAGGATGCAAGGTAGAGCGATGATGGAAAGGGGGTAGAGATGAGGATGGAGAGCAAAGGCGATCGAAGCAACGGAAGAAGCAGAAGCAGGTGATGTCATCCAGATGGGGTCCATGGAAAGTATGATGCATAAGGCACACGCTCAAAAATTAATTTACCTATGCCTCCATGGTACACAATATTCCACGAAAGCGTTGAACCAAACATTTCTCAAAATATTGTCTTTGTTAATAAATAAATATTTTTAATATATAACCCTACAAAATTATTTTATTGTCTACCACCTGTGAACCAGATTAGCAGGGGGCAGACATCTTTGGCAGCAAGTTGGGGTTAGATGAAACTAACAACATGGTGATCAACCCATCTTTATCACAAGCTTGGTCCCAATATTCACTCCCCATCTCCTGTGACATCAGGCCACACAGACAGGCGATGACGTACTGAATCAAAATTGTACAAGCTTAATTTAAACATACCTGCAAGAGTAAAGGAATCTCATCAATACACGCCGTATTTAGGATTTACGGTGCCATTACAATGATTTCTTTCATCTGAGTAGCAATTTTTCTTATATTACTCTCTTCGATCTCCAAATTCAGTTCAGGGATTAAACACAATCATTTGTCTTGTTTCTTGCAAGCTTCATCTATCAATCACTCTGATAGCCAAATTAGAGACATTTACAGCCTTCTATCCTGCTGCATATTTATTTTACTTCTCTAAAATTCATCTCGAGATTCCTGTCGTGTGCCCAATACCTTTCACGGCCTACCTGCCATTGTGAGTGCATACCACAGTTGGCTTACCTTTGACACTCTAGGTTCTTTCTCAACATTTTTTTTTTGCTCCTGTGCATTGTTGAGCTTTGCTTTTAGCAAGCAACTATGTGCACGCAAACAGATAATGCATGTCTTCAGAATGGTGGAACCAGAAAAGCAGTTAGAAAGCTTATTATGCGAATGCACACACGTTTATGTGCATTTCGCATGCTTTCCGCATCTGAAACAGATAGTGAAGGCTGTTTGATGTTTCAAGAAATATCGCTCAATAAGGACTTTGTTATAATTTTTTAAAATAAATCATCACATTTTTTGCCATGTAAACAAATTCCAATGAAAAACAGAAAAGCGAACATAGTTCTATCCGACATTTTTGCTTGCACTTTTTGTAAGATGAATTTACATGGCTCTATGTACACCGATAACAAGCAGTTTGAGATAGCCCACGCTTGAGCATTTATTCGGAGCAGCCATGCATGCCAACATCATCAGTGCAGTCTGGAGTGCACCTATCAAGTGTTTCAGACAAGTGGGTTGATGATCTATGTATTAATGATGAAAGCAAGAACAACAGCGCTTACCGCGTACAGTAGCTCCCACAGATCGTACTTGCTGCACTAGTGTGCCGCGTCCGTTTGAGTCAACGTTTGCTTGCTGTCATGAGCCAATGCTCCTTAGGGTCCCAGAAGTGTTTTCGTTGAGCTTGTTGGTTACACATTGTGAAAGGTGAAAACAGCTAATTAGTGCAACAAGCAAAATGTGCCAAAGCTAGTAATAAATACTTACAGAGCATGTAAACAAACAGGGCTGAATCCACGGAATGCACGAACATGAATATTGCAAACACTCTGGATGTAAACGCGCTGGTTGTAAAACACGCTGGTAAAGCTGCCCACCCGTGGCATGTGTTGACAAAAAAACGTGGACCGATCACAATGACCATTTTTGACAAAGAAAATGAAAACAGCATATACAAAAATATGCTTTATTTTGCACTATTCTTCATCTTCACTTTCAGTGGACGAGGAATCGCTTTCTTCGTAGACCACAGTGGGGCGGTTGGTATTGACAAAAAGGTCATCGTCGTCGTCGTCACTGTCTTTAGGACTGGTGTTGCCGCAGTCACCCTTACCGTCGTCACTGTCAAATGCCTTTGGCCTGTGAGGAATCAAAAAGAGAGAGTAAATGTTGTGGGGGGTGCTGACACGTGTCTCGCATAGAAGCCGTATTTTGGGGTCACGGCTATTGAGGGATAGGTGGCTATGTGTACGCGAGCGGTGATCATTACTATAATCATCATCATGGTATAGCGCCGGCGGCAACAAGTCTTGGTACCGGCGAGCGAGAAATAAGCTGGTCTCTTCTGCGCGTGGCGGTTGCCGCAAACTGTTGTCTCTAGCGTTGGTCCCTGGTGCATGGCACCGCAAGCTGTGCGTGGGGGCCCTCGTGGTAAGTCAAGGGTTGGCGACGCCGCCTTGGGTGTGTTATTGTGTTTGTCATTTTTGGAATGTATGGTAATATTGTGTAAGGATGTCCTAGCGTGTTGATCACCATTTATGTTATAATAATTTGGCGGACGATATCGTCGATCAAAAGTAGTTAAATAAACATATGTGTTGTTTCGTTTGGACCGACCGCGTCGGCTGAGTCCGTTCACTCCGAGAGCTTGTGGTGCTCACCACCTTCGAACCCCACAGTGGTCAAATGATTTGCAACAACGAAAACCTTTTTCACATCCGACAACTGCTTGTGTATGACAGTTCTTTAAATGGACCGACAAGTGGCGAAAACTCCTGGTAGAAATGAAGACAGTGAAATATAGTGCCAGATTCCAGCATACTTTTCATATTCTACATAGGCTTTACAAATTTAAATAGTTTCTACATGTAACCAAAAATCGGTATGCCCAGCAGAGGAGCCTTGAAGTTGATTAATCAGTTAGCTGTACGTAATCACATAGTCTGATGCTGACATAAACGCCATTCAGTCGCCGAAATTACAGTATGCATAATCGCTGCTCCATTCTGTGCTGCTTGCTGTTTACAAGGCAAAATGAGCTGCACGGTGAGAAGCGTCACTGCCGTCGTGGCAGCCAGCGAACCATGTCGAGCCGCAGCGAATGGGCACATGCACAGTAAACCGCCCTGCTCGAACACAAGCCACTTTCGTGTCACTGTTCGCAGCATGTATTGCCTTGCATGTATACGACTTCATATTCACCGTAGACAGAAAAATTCTGATTACAAATGTTTCATGGCGCTTAGCATGTTGTTATTCTGTGGTTAGACACTCCGGCTTATAAGTTTTTCATTCCATGAAATAGGTACCATAAAAATTGGTTGTCGGTCCCTTCGAAGCTCTAAATTGTTCGGTGCAACAATACAGGTCCTTCTTTTCTTGCATTCTTAACTAAAAAGAAGTGTGCTAGAAAATTGGGAGACCCTTAAGCTTTGCCTTTAAGAGCCGCACGGGATAGCGACATCCTGTTCGTAGTGCATATTTCAAACACTTAGTGCATGAAACCTTTTTGAATTTGCTATGCATCCACTCCGTGACTTTAAGGGAACAGGCGCAGTAGCGTGTGTGCCTTTTGTAGTGGGGGACTAGCTTTAAGCTATGAAGTCTTTATGATAACCCCAAGTACTGACGCCCCTTCGCAATGTACACTTGTACCTGCATTATTACGGCAATATTTTGTGTTGTATTGCGAAGCATGTACACAGGATGTGTGTGTTTGTAAAGCATGAAAGTAACCTTCACTGCATTTCTTTATTTGCATCTTATTCGATTTTTCGCTCACAACCAACGACGCTGACGCTGGAATTTCTGCAAAACGAGCTCTTTAACGTTATAGTGTTAATATGAAAGTAATATATATGAATGCACTGATAGCACATTCATCAGTCCTATTCTCAGGCATGCACAATAATTTGGATGCCTTTGAAGCACTGTCATGTTATAACATTCGAAATTTGATACAATTGGCCTGCTTGTAGTAAGTCCAGCAATTATTTTGCTTTAGTAGTAGCAGATCAAAAGTATCACATTGCAATATGTGTGGTGAAATGAAGACTACCAAGATTGCCCCTGCTTCTGCTTATGACTTACGATTGATTGATATGTGGGGTTTAACGTCCCAAAACCACTATATGAGAGACGCTGTAGTGGAGGGCTTCGGAAATTTCGACCACCTGGGGTTCTTTGACGTGCACCCAAATCAAACGGCTTATGAAACGCAGGAATTGAATGGTTTTTGCACAAGGTGAGAGTATTCCTTTGATGCTAGGGAAGTAGAGAATGGAAGCCACACTGATGCATTTATTGCCTGCTTCAATGACTCTTGCTGATTTATTGTGGCTTCTGGTGACAACCGAGAAGGCGCTAAAGTCAGGACCACACTGACTGCTACGGCAACGAATCGCGGGGTGGCCTTTCAAGTCAGGACCACACTGACCGCTACGGCCAAGAATCGCGGGGTGGCCTTTCCCGTGGTTCATTGTGGTGATTTTTAATGCAGTCTTGACCTCAGAGCATGCTCGGTTGTTGCAAGAAGCCACAATAAATCAGTAAGATTAATCATTAAGCCCAGGAAAATTATCGAAGCAAGCAATAAAGTCATTAGCATGAGTTGCATTTTATCACCACCTAAAAAGTTGCGTTACTTAAATGCGACTGCGAATTCAGGACCCGTCACACTGCGTGGTGTGTGTGTACATTTATCCTGTACTCTTCTCGAAGTAAACCTTATTAGAAATGGCACACTGTACACATGTACTCTCTCTCTGTCCATTGTTTTTTGTGCCCTAACACTTCAAATATGTTAAACCAGCATGCACAGTCTACCATTTTTATAATTAATTACAATTACAATGTAATTATTTCATTACGGTACAGTTAGGAATGCCGTACTTCTTCATAAAACGAATTCAAATTACCTGAGCATATTGCATCCAATAGTTATCTGCTGATAGAAAACATTTCTCAGTCAAGAACTTTAATATATGGTCCTGAGGAGTTTAAGCCACCAGGGTGCCCACGTGGGACATCCTAGCAGCCGCTACCGTAGGCGACGCCCGAGTCGGGGCGGGAACGTGGTGGCGTTCCGCCAGTTCTTGGGCCCTCTGGACTGCCTTAAGTTGGTTTCGGAGATTGGGGCTCCTGAGTGCCTCCTCCCAGTCGGACTCACTGGTGAGAGGTCCCTGAGGCATATTTCTCAGAAATATTTCTTTAATGTTTTGAAATTCTTGTCAAAACATACCACAATAGGCATCTTCTTAAACACGGTACTGCCTTCAACAAAGTGATCATGTCTAACAAAAAATATTCCAACCAGGAGTAATATATATATGAGGCTTAGGTACAAGAATGTTTAATTTACCATTACACTCAAACCTCATCAAAACAAAGTCACACCTGCCATGAAAATACTTCATTTCCAAAAAATTTGTAATAAGCATATATATTCAGCACTGCATCTATAATACCCCTGTCACACGTGGCAACATAAGTGCATTTCACGGCGAGTGTCATTCGTGCATTGTCACACAAAAAGTTTTGTGTCACTCGCTGCACAATACACTTGCCGGCAAGTGCATTCGCCAGCCTCACTTCGCTGCGATGAAGTTTGTATTCATGGTAGCAGTGACTTGCAAAAAAATACACTGTGTGCATAAAACGGTGCTCAACCATTGTTTTTGTAATAAGAAATACTACTACATGTATTCAAGCAAGTCGCGATACAACAAAAAACCTCGCTACTGTTACCCTCGGGCAGTTTGTGGTCACGTCCTCTGGTGGATGCGGCAGCACGACCTGTGCAACGGCAATGTCCGTCGCGTTTACTTTTTTGCGCACTTGCAGATATCAAGGCGAGTCGTTCTCTAGAGATTTGCAATGGCGTGTACCACTGGTGCTACTTACATGAAGACAGTGTCGTCAGACAATGAGACACCAGCGCAAAAATAGAAATATGTACTATGTTGCACTAAAAGAGCGCCAGTTGCCAGTGCCATCATTTCAAAAGTGCACTTAACTTTTTCGTGTAGCAGGGCACCGCCAGAATCACACTTTGCGAGTGTAAGCACGCTCGCTCAAAGTGCACTTAAATTGCCACGTGTGACAGGGATATAACAGAGCTTTTCTCCATTTAGATTGTTAAAACCAATAATTCGTTATATCCGAGTTCATTATATTAAGGTCCGAGTGTTTGTTAGTGTTTATTGTCTCTTTCTGGCCACTAATACCCAGAGATGACAAAAAGTGAATCGTGTTTACAATGTACACACCGTGTTGTAAAGGGTTCTCCAAGCTTTGTTATTTTATACATGGAGGGTGCCGCCTTCACATCGGAAAATATGGTCAGGTCCAATTACACGACGTCCTTGAAAGCTGCTTTTATCGAGCACTTTGACTGCATGAGTACTAGACCAACAATGAACAGTGTGTACAAAAATCCTGGATGACTCACCACAGGCCCTCCTCCTTGATGTACTTTATCTGGTCGCGGTACAGGATGCGCTGTATCTCAGCCTTCACCTTGTCTCCTTCCTCGATTGGTTCAACGATGACGTAGTCACCTGGAAAGGAAGGCTCGATTTTCGTAGCACCCTTCAAATTGCGATCATGAGCCTGCTGTTAACTGACCAATGCAAATGTAACAAATCGTGCGCAGTGTAAAAAAAGATTGGCGAACAGCTAATGGGAAACAATCATAACATATTCTTACAACAACGTGATCACCTGTGTTTTTTTACATGCGAGTAGCAGATATGGAGCATAATGGACAAGCTAAAAAAAGAGACAGTAGGGACAAGAAGGAACAAAGGACCGCACTTCTTCTCGTCCCCATCTCAATTCAAGCTCGTAATTATGTCCTGTCAGTATGCATGATACCAACTAGCCCAACCCCCCCACTCTGGTTGCTGTTGTAATATTCACAATTACAGTAAAACTTCACTTGTACAGACTTGATGGGACTTCAGGAAAAAGCTTGTTGACTTGAATGTTCCATGTTTTTATCCGACTCATCCTTTCATGTTTGTGTATACACATATGATATGCATTGTTAGCAAAAAAACAGTTGCAAGTTTGCGAATATGCGTGCCCCGTTTTCTCATTTTGTACTAAGTCTCAACATAGCGCAGCAAAAGAATGCGGAACTGACACAGCTTTGTTGAAGGCTATTACAAGCTGAAGGGTATACCAGGTGATCAAACAAAATTCCAAGTAATTAATTTATTTGTCACGCTACCCATTTCCATGTTAATTCATGCTTATTGATGGTCTTGCAAAGAATACTGTAATCTTCTGCTGCATGATTGTTGTAGCGCAAGCTCAGAACGATGACAAAAAAATTACAACAAAAAAACCAAGATGACGAGCACTCGCCTTCTTGTCCTTTTGTCATCGTTCTGACATCGCGCTATAACAGTCGTCATGAGCTACCAACCAGCCCAAACTGCCGCGCTTTTGCTGCAGTTGTGCACTTCAGACTGCAGCGGCCATGAATTGAGTTATTGCCGCCAAGCTCTGAAGAAGCTTCTCCGGCAGAACAATTTCCTGTGCAGCGAGGAAGCTCAGTTTCTCCACAGACATCAGTACTTTTATGAAAAACATCCAGGTTTTCATCCACGCTTTTGGATTTGACATTCATAATAACCAGCATGTGGTTGTAAGGACAAGGCTGCAGCTGCCAATTTGGCTGCAGGCTACAGTTGTCTTCGCAAGCATGTAAGCAGGCAACAGAGTTCAAGGCCAATTCGGACCCGCCTTTCTTCACTTGTCAATAAAATGCATTGACAACATAAAATCTCCGTCTCTGCAATTAGCTCTGGTGTGGGGTACTGTCGTCGCAGCTGATGGTGAGGGCCACGAGAAAACACGGCACAAAAAGGATGTTGTTCTGGTTAAAGTGATCAAAATGTCCCGTTAGGAATCGAACGGTGTCATGAAAAATGTTCGTAGAAGTGAAACGTGCTATGCAATGAATTTTATTAAACTAAAGTGAGTTGGCATTAGATTCATTATTGTTTCTGTAAGGTATTTGAGAAAGTTTTGTACAACTCAACAATTAATTTAACTGACATTTTTTTAGGCGATGTTTTACCGTAATATTTGATTATAATTGTCGGAGTAATGTCCCCAAACTGCATTATGACAACGAGGACGTCATAGTGAAGGGCCCCGAAGATTTTGACCACCTGAGGTTCTTTAACATGCACCTAAATGTGCACAAGCTTTGCACATTCCTGCCTCATAAATGCAGCTGGGATCCAACCCCACGACCTCCAGGTCAGCAGTCGAGTTCCATAACCACTAGATCATTGTGGTGAGTACACAATTATAAATTAATATAATATGGTACATTGAACAGTGTACGTGCACATTTTTTCCTTAAGATATAAAACAAGAAAATTTTATTAACAGCAAATGAGTTATTGGGCTAACCCCCCTATACCGTGAATTACCGAGCAAGCCCCCCCTCCCCCATGGGAAGGATAATCCAACCAGATTTGGGAGGGAAGCTTTTGCTCAGCCACGGTCCGGAGCTTATTTCAGACCTTTCCGAAAAAGTGAGGGGGGGGCCCTTGTTCGGCATTTTATGGTCCCCTACTGACAAGATTTATAGGCATACGGTGCCTGAATTACCAAATACAAATGGTCCATTTCAGGATACAGCACCGGCTTCTAATGGCATGTGTCTTCACATGATGAAACTACACCGGCTGCATGTCTTCTTCTTGGACTAATAAGTCAGTGTCCTCTTCTTGGACCAAGAAAATTACGCTTGGCTCGTAAAGTTGTCACTGGGAGACGTATATTGCACTTGGCGTGATTACCATCGGCAATGCAACTAAACTTGGAACGGGAGACACTCACCTCGCTTGATCCATATGTTTTTTCTGAACTTCACCGGCATGCTGACCAGGTATGTGTTGCCGGACGACTCTTCCACTTCGTGCAGGTTGTTTCCCCTACCTTTCAGCACCTAAGAAAAAAAAAGCGCTTAGTACAAAATGTTACAAGCGATACACAGCCACAACGTAGCCCCATGTCAATGAATTATGAGTCGCATGAGTGAAAGTGGAAAAACATCGCACTATGTGTTCAAACTATCACATCACGGTGGCAAAAGATGGAAAATGAGCACTACAGAGCTTACAAGTCGGTGACAAGACAGGACTTGATAGAAGTTATTGGCTTCATACAGCTCCTAGAATGCTTACTCGAGAAAACCGCAATGATTGATTTGATTGATATGTAGGGCTTAACGTACCACAACCATCCTGTGATTATGAGAGACACCCTAGTGGAGAGCTCCGAAAATTTCGAGCATCTGGAGTCCTTTAGCGTGCACCCGAATCTGAGCACACGAGCCTACAGCATTTTCAGCTCCATCGAAAATGGAGCCCTTGCAGCCGGGATTTGATCCCGCGACCTGCGGGTCGGCAGCTGAGTACTTTAGCCACTAGACCACTGCGGCGGGTCAACAAAACCACAATAGTTCCGCCCCAATGGGAATGATGGACAGTACGTGGATTAAGTCTTTGCACTTGCGGCTTTATTTATTGTTGCATTATGGCTTTGGTTTTCCACCGAGGGTGTTTTAAATTCAGAAGTCGTAAAAACTGATCACTTGTTGCTGTCCTTTTCTACTCTCTTGGTCAAAACGCACGTCCACTACCTTCATTACAGTTCGGATAAAAGAATAGTTCATCATGAACCTAGTAAGCTAACTTGAATTGCAGAGCCTAAAAAGCTTCAAGGTGGTGAAGTGACCAACTGAACTGAACACTACGAGGCATGACATTCATGACGTAATTTTTGAAAAACCTCTGGGTTCTCTGAGCCCAGGAACATTCCCTAGAATGTGGAAGGGTAAACTAACCTGGGGAGAGAAAAGCGGTGCGGGAACGAGATCCTCCCTGAGAAGTCAACTTACGAGTCTTTTCGCAACGACTGAATTACCTATTGCATTTTTCTACGATCACTTCACAGCTGTTATCGCGGAAATTTTGACTGAAATCGCCTTCACTAAACTACGCTTAGTCACTGTCGCACTACATGTTCACCCACACACACCGCGTGTCTTTCCAGCGTTTTATTATGGCTCCGCAATGTGGGAGGGAAAAAAAACCGCACGAATGTGTCTCTTCTGTAGTTCTAAATCATGCTCTTCAAGCAGCTTCTATACCTTGAAAACCTGAGTAAGTGCACAACAAGGGCAACTAAGTGATTTTCTTACCCTTGCCAAGGAGGTGGCGCGCTTTTTCGCGCGGTGCGGACATCAGCCGGGTGTCCTAAAAGCGTTTTTCGCGACTTCAGGTAAACTATTGCGATTCACTCTTGGTTATTTCTCTAGTTTAATGATTTCAGACCTAGTTTGTTTGCATTAGTTTACTGTGCCTCGGTTTTGGACATAGTGTACGAATAACCAGGTGATTCCCTAAAATCTATACAAACAAAAAACGTTGGTAAACAGGAGATGCGACTCATACCCGGACGATCTGTTGGTTTTCCGCGGGCAGAACGTACTCCTCCAGAACTTCCCTGGTGACGTGCTTGATCTTGGTCGTCTGAGACATGACGTAGGCCGACGGCTGTGGACGCGGCTGTACCTCTAAGACTCGGGGAACGCAAGAAGGCCTCCTCTTCGATGAATACGGGAGATCGTCACCGCTTCAAAGACACCTCGGGTCACTCGTGAAGACTTCGACGAGGATCACGCTGTTGCCACGGCGGCCAGTTGAATTTCGCGTAGCGCCGACGGGGACTCGTAAGACTTCTCGCCCGGAACCAACCGCGCCAGCGAGCTCGCACCACAAAGAAATACGCTAACTGGAGTTTCTACGAGCGTAGTACGAAGTCAAAATGTGTGTGTTTGGGGGAGTTTAATGGTCTTGCGACCGCACACATGGAGTCCGCCATCTTGACTGTTTACTTTGCGTCTCCCCCTTGAGGGTATTGATAAAAACGCCTAACGTGTACACGTATTAACCCAAAGTTCAACTCTACTACTCCATATACTCGTGCTAAAATGTGCCAGCAATAAATAAAAAAACTTTCAAACCAAAAGATTACCTTAAGTAACGTTAGAAGGTGACTGAACTTCGACTGCACCTCCTCTGGTGTCGAGGGTTCAGATTCGCAACTTTGGATTCGGTGATTTCATCCATCTCATATTTAAAAGAAGCACTGCGCCGACCGGCTTTGGGTCAAAGTTCAAATTTTGTGAGGTTAGCGGTTGTTAGTGGCTGTCACTGACATCTCCTGAGACTTCGAAAGAAGCCTTCCGTACATCTGACTGAAAAAAGCGAACAAAGGTGAGTTTGCCTGTTCATTGTCATAGACATGTCGTGTGGACACGGTACTTGGGCTAGTTAACGGCTCCTTGGTTGACCGTCAAGAAAACGTTTCGTTCCCGCTCATTTTCTCGTTGTGCCGGTGCTGCGGCAGTTAAACTACTTATTTTGTGTAGTTATGGTAGTGTAGCTGGCTTGGGTTGTCCTAGTAGCGAGCCAGAAAGAAAAGGGTTAACTCCCGTAGGACTCGGCGAAAGGAAACGTTGGTTTGACAATCCGTTAACGAGTCATAGTTTAAACACCAAACGACCAGAAGGCCTGAACACGTGATCGTGGGCTGAAGTTTGACGTTCGTGACCTGCATCGTTTGAGTACGTGCACCTTCTGTTCGTTTGAAAACGGTTGTGCCCGGGGACTGTTCGTTGGAATGGGCTTGCCAGACGCGATGTAGTACCTCTTCTTTAAGCTTTATCTGTCGGGTTTTCTATTTGTGCCGTCAGTTTGCTTGGTTTAATGGTTAAGTAACGCTAATAGCATGAGGGGTTAACTCCCACATCAGGCCCATAATTGTGAATTGAAGTGAAGTTTCTATATAGTGACGGTTGTGATCCGGTAGTGCTATTTCGGTGCAGCCGCGTTCTTAAATGCGGTGCATGGGTAGGTGTACTTTCTATGGACCGTAGCTTGGGCGGTGCTGCGCGTCCCAAGTTTGTAGCCAGCCCTCCGCACCCTGGCTTTGACAGTTATGTTATCGCTTCCGTTTATTCTGTTGCGCCGATACCATTGTTTGCCCATGTCGTCCTTGAGCCACTCACGTGGTCTCCGAGCAGGGGCGGCGTCAGGATGTTTTTACTGGGGGGGCAACCACGAAAAGTGAGTTCCTCCGGGGGGGCAAGCTAGCTCTGCTCCTACTAGGTTTTCAATATATGCTTCTGGGCACTTGGGTGGGCATAGGGGGGGCAGGCGAGAATTTTGGGGGGGCTCCAGCCCACCCTTGCCCCCCCTGGCGCCGCCCCTGTCTCCGAGATGGTTGCCGGAGAACACCGCGCAATCTGACGCAACAGTTTTGCATGCGTGCGCTAGGCGTTGCTTCGGGCGGCTTCGAATTATAGGGGCCCCAAAGCCCCTCTGCGTAAGCACGCTTTGGGTCAAGCAGGAGCGAAGTTTCGGAATAGGGTCTGCGGCGCTTTGGACATTCCCCAATTCTGAGCCACCCGAAGTCTTGGCCGAGAACCATCGCGTTTGTCTGATGCAAAGCTTGTGCGGCAGGCTTATGGCATCCCCGAAGCAAAACCGAAACTATAAAGAGTTTTCAAATAGCGGCCCTAAAGAAATAGCGTGGAGGCCATTGCGCATGCGCGAAACCCAAACCGCGTCTGGGTTTTGCGTTGTAGGCACTATTTCCCGAACTGCGCGGGTGCATCAAAGCCTGCCTCAAAAGCTTAGCGCCAGACAAACGTGACGTCACCCACTTAAGAGACGGCTGACCTAAAAGGGGACGTCTCCAAAGCACCATAGACCCAATTCGAGCTCGCATAGCGGACTTGCGGGCCCCAAACTTACGGGGCACCTATTCGAAAACTCCCCTATGAATCGGTTCAGTTTGAGGTCTGAAGTTTCTTGGAGGTTTTGGCGCGAAATTTAAAAATGTCACTTCGAGCTTGATGTTCTCCGCTAATCATGAACATATTGTAACGGATATAACAACCTCACAACCGGGACGTCCTATTTACAAGGTTTAATAAGGGCGAACTTGTGCCCAAAGCCAAAAGAACTACACAGTAGCTGGGAGAAAGCAGCGAACGCTCGTCGTCCTCTTCTTCTCCTCTTTTCTTTGCCGCTGCTCGGTAGCAGCTCGTGCACAGGCTGGGCCGGCTCGTGCCTTCCGGCGGGCTTCATGAATCGTAGCGATGCCGTCAGCGTTCCTCTTTTAACAACGTCTGCGTTGTACTGCGCCTTAGCAATTCCTCGTGGCATTATCCCCCCTCTCAAGCGGCATCGGCCCGATGCTTGCGATGAGGCTGTTCAGCACTTTTTTTTTTTTTTTTTTTGTGTGTACAAGTTTGTAAAAATGAGGTTGCAGTACGTCAAGGGATTGGGGTGGCTAGGTTTGGAATCGGTCGTAGTACGGTTTCATCCGTACAATGTGTACACGCTCCGTGGGATTGCGTCGCCTCGGATGCAGGTGGCCTGCAGGCTTGACTTCGTAGACGAGGTCATTGTGTCGCTGTACGATCTCGTAGGGGCCAAAATACCGGGAAATGAGTTTTTCGGAGAGGCCTCGTCGTCGTACTGGAGTCCATATCCACACTTTGTCGCCAACGTCATATCGCGTGTCAAGTCTTCCTCGGTTGTAGCGGTCGGCATCGATGCGGTGTTGGTGGCGTATTCGGTATCTTGCTAACTGGCGGGCTTCTTCCGCTCTTTGTAGAAAGTCGTCAAGATCGGGGGGGTAGTCATCTTGGTCTATTGGTAACATAGCATCCAGTGTTGTGGTAACAGCACGACCGTAAACTAGTTCAAATGGGGTGATTTTGGTGGTCTCTTGCACAGCCGTATTGTAGGCGAAAGTGACGTATGGTAAAATTTCGTCCCACTTTTTGTGCTCGACATCCACATACATGGATATCATGTCTGCTAGAGTTCTGTTAAGGCGTTCGGTCAGGCCATTGCATTGAGGATGATATGCAGTGGTTTTCCTATGAACAGTGTGAGTCATGTTGAGCAGGCACTTCAAAAGTTGCGCCGTGAAAGCCGTTCCGCGATCGGTGATTACAACCGTTGGAGCGCCATGTCGCAGGACTATTTTGTGTACGAAGAATTGGGCCACTTCTGCTGCCGTTCCTCGTTCCAAAGAGTCTGTTTCGGCGTATCTAGTTAAATAATCAGTGGCCACAACGATCCATTTCTTGCCGAGTAAAGATGTCGGGAAGGGTCCAAGGAGGTCCATTCCAACTTGGCGGAAAGGCGCTTTCGGTGGATCTATAGGTTGTAGAAGGCCCGCTGGTTTAGAACTTGGTGTTTTTCGTCTTTGGCACTCGCGGCATGTTTTGACGTAGTGTTGCACTGAAGCTAGTAGCTTGGGCCAATAATAATGGAGACTGATCCTTGCAAGCGTTCGCGTCACACCCAAATGTCCAGATGTGGGCTCATCGTGACACGCTCGAAGTATTTCTTGTCGCATAGTTGCTGGAACGACAAGCAGGAACTTTTCGCGGTTGGGCTTGAAGTTTCTCTTGTAGAGAACGTTTCCTCGGAGGCAGAACGATGCGAGGCTTCGAGAAAATATACGGGGTACTTGTACGTCAATTCCTTGCAGGTGTTCGATAAGCGGGAGTAATTCTTTGTCTGTACGTTGGAGTTCGGCTATTTGAGTGGTCTCGACAATTCCTACGAACGGAAAGTCGTCTTCTTCTGATGGTGGTGTGTCTGTAGGAGCCCGTGACAAACAGTCGGCATCGGTATGTTTTTTGCCAGATCGGTATACCACGGTTATATCGTATTCTTGCAGTCTGAGGCTCCACCTTGCTAGTCGTCCGGATGGTTCCTTTATGTTCGCCAGCCAGCAAAGCGCATGGTGATCGCTGACTGCTTTGAATGGTCTACCATATAGGTACGGCCGAAATTTACTGATGGCCCAGATGACGGCAAGGCATTCTTTTTCCGTGGCCGAATAGTTTGTCTCTGCTTTTGTTAGAGACCGACTGGCATAAGCTATCACTTTTTCTTCACCTTTCTGCCACTGTATTAGAACGCATCCAAGGCCGATGTTACTGGCATCTGTGTGTATTTCCGTGTCGGCTGTCTCATCAAAGTGAGAAAGAATCGGGGGGTTTTCTAACCTCTTTCTCAATTCGTTGAAGGCGCTTTGTTGCTCGTTTTGCCACTGGAAAGGCACATCTTCTTTCGTAAGTCTCGTTAAGGGTTCTGCGATCTTTGAAAAATTTCTCACAAATCGTCTATAGTACGCACATAGACCTAGAAATCTCCGTACTGACTTTTTGTCTGTTGGCACCGGAAACCTTGCGACGGCGGTCGTCTTATCAGGATCAGGGCGAACACCTTGGGCGCTGACGACATGCCCAAGAAAACGAAGCTCTTCGAAACCTAATCGGCACTTCTCTGGCTTGATTGTCAAATCTGCCGAACGGATTGCCTCTAACACTGACCGAAGGCGCTTGATGTGCTCCTCAAATGTAGCCGCGAAGATGACCACGTCGTCTAGGTACACTAGGCAACACTGCCACTTCAATCCGGAAAGCACAGTGTCCATCATGCGTTGGAACGTTGCCGGCGCACAACAGAGACCAAACGGGAGAGCCTTAAATTCGTAAAGTCCGTCCGGGGTAACAAAAGCAGTCTTTTCGCGATCACGTTCATCAACCTCGATTTGCCAGTATCCACTTTTCAGATCTAGTGATGAGAAGAACTTGGCACACCGAAGTCGATCTAACGTGTCGTCGATGCGTGGAAGGGGATATACATCCCGTTTAGTCACAGCATTCAGTTTCCTGTAGTCGACACAAAACCGTAGCGTGTTATCCTTCTTCTTGACAAGCACCACGGGAGATGACCACGGGCTGTTAGAAGGCTGGATAACATCATCTTCAAGCATTTCTCGTACCTGCTTCTTGATGACTTCCCTTTCCTTAGGGGAAACACGATACGGGTGCCGGCATACCGGCCTGGTTGTCTCGTCCGTTATGATCCTGTGTTTTGTAATGCTCGTGCGCCGTACCTTTGAACTGTTGGAGAAACAGCTGCCAAATTCCCGCACGAGGTCGTATAGCTGTTGACGTTGAATCTCTGAAAGATTAGGATTTACGTATATTGTGTCGCAGGCATCAGATGGAAGTTTCACATTCGGTGACGTCGTTTCAAGACTGCATATTTCTGTCACTTCACAGAACTCATGAAGAAACGCTATTGCCGTCCCTTTTGCGATGTGCTGGAATTCGTTACCGAAATTCGTCAAGAGGATGTCTGTGCACCCGTTTCGCAGCTGGATAATCCCTCGTGCCACACAAACGCCTCTTTTCAAGAAAACATCCACGTTGCTCTCCGCCACACCCTCGTAGTCGCTGAATGCATCATTATGCACGAGAACCATTATACTGCTCCGTGGCGGTACAGTCACATCATCGTCGACGACGCGCAGTGGAGTGGTACATCGTTCATCTGATCGTGCTACCTTTAAAGCTTGCTCCGTCGAAAAGGACACGCTCGACCTCTGTAAATTGATAATCGCACCATTAGCTTGTAGGAAATCCATTCCCAGTATCACTTCCCTCGAGCACACAGGTAGGACGACAAAGTCACCGACGTAAGTGAAGCCCCGTATCATGACCCTTGCGGTACATCGGCCGGAAGGGGTTATGAGGTGACCACCTGCAGTACGTACTTGAGGTCCACCCCATTCGGTCAGAACTTTCTTGAGTCGCTTCGCTAATTCGTAACTTATCACAGAATAATCCGCACCAGTATCGATCAAAGCATTGAGCTCTAGTCCGTCAATCACCAACGGCAAGTCTGAAGTAATTTTCTCTGTACTGCACTCCTTTACCTGGAAACAGTCGTCGTTATCAGGCTCGTACCGCAGTGGAGGATCTTCATATCCCAAGTCGCCAGCGGCCTCGCCTCCACAGGTCGCCCTCTTCAGTTTCCCGGATTTGGGCTAGGCGAACGCTGCCTAGACGTGCTTGGGAAGGGACGTGGGCTAGACGAGCGGTAGCGCATAGGGGATGGTGAGCGTGGTTGATGACGACGAGGCGGGTCAAATTCCCGACGTGAGCATAGGTATTCTTCAATCTCGGAAGGTCTTTCGCCGTTTCGCGGACACGGTGCATTGATGGCGAATCCCCTAAGACCAGCTTGACGATATCGGCAGAATCGGTACAGGTGGCCAGCCTCTCCACAGTGGAAACACAAGGGCCTACGTGTGGCATCTCGCCACACATCGCTCTTCCGTGGCATCATCTCTCTCGCACGAGGTGGAGTGCGTGTTGCCTCTACGATTTCAGGCGGGCTGCGCATTGTCTGCACATAAGTACTTGGTGTCTCGATCGGCGAACAGTGCGGAGTAGGTCGCCTGAGCACCTCGGAGTACGTTACCGCCCGTCGTGTCGCTGGCACATCACTCCGCGGCTCCCGCATGGCCTGTCGAATTTCATCTCGGACAACTTCAGCAAGAGACAGCTCGGGGGTGACATCAGGTGACTGCAGTTTCCTTAATTCTTCCCTGACAACAGACCGGACGAGCTCGCGCAATGTGTCAAGATTATCCACGACGCCTGCTGAGTAGACTCCTGCGGATGCACCGGCTACGTCGCGGTTGTACTGTCGGGCTCTCTGCTGAAGCGTCGTTTCGATGGTTGTTGCTTCCGACCGAAACTCAGCAACAGTACGGGGCGGATTGCGGATGAGTCCCGCGAACAATTCTTGCTTTACCCCGTGCATGAGGTGGCGCACCTTCTTGTCTTCCGTCATGCCAGGATCAGCTCGCTTGAAAAGGCGGGACATGTCTTCGATGTACATCGCGACAGTTTCGTTCGTTCGTTGAATCCGTGTGCGGAGAGCTGCTTCCGCCCTTTCCCGGCGATCACTGTTGGCGAACGTACTCAGTAGCTGCCGCCGAAACTCTTGCCACGACGTCAGAGATGCCTCGTGGTTTTCGTACCACACTCGTGCAGAGTCTTCCAACGCAATGTAGACGTTACGCAGCTTGCCTTCCTCGTTCCACTGATTTAGATTTCCCACTCTCTCGAAATGCTCTAACCAGTCTTCGGCGTCCTCGTATGGGTCACCATGAAACACCTTTGGAATGACCGGTTGGCTTACGATGAGTTGTGCCGGCGTAACTTGGCTCGTCATGGTGGTGGCGGCGCTTGTCTCCGTCACCGATGCCCTTGATACAGAAGGGAGTGGCCCAAATTCTGGCAACTCTCCTCGGATACGGCGGCTGACTCGTTGGTGCACCGGTGTAAGCTCCACTGGTTGCGGCTGGTCAGTGCTTGGACTTCGCTCTTGCGTGGGGCTCGGAATCATGTACCCAGGCTCCTCCACCAGAAAATGTAACGGATATAACAACCTCACAACCGGGACGTCCTATTTACAAGGTTTAATAAGGGCGAACTTGTGCCCAAAGCCAAAAGAACTACACAGTAGCTGGGAGAAAGCAGCGAACGCTCGTCGTCCTCTTCTTCTCCTCTTTTCTTTGCCGCTGCTCGGTAGCAGCTCGTGCACAGGCTGGGCCGGCTCGTGCCTTCCGGCGGGCTTCATGAATCGTAGCGATGCCGTCAGCGTTCCTCTTTTAACAACGTCTGCGTTGTACTGCGCCTTAGCAATTCCTCGTGGCAATATGATAGCGGAATATATGGCATTAGAGCTTTCAGAGTACAGTTGTCATTCTGAGCAATGTCATTGTTCCTCTTTAGTATAATTTGATGACATATGCTTCTCTAAACTGGGCCTGTTAAGTCTCGGACGATATGCTTCGTGTTTACTGCTTGGGCTTTCCTAGGTGCCATTCAAGTTGCGACGTACTGGTGCGGGAACTTCAGAGTGGTGTCGCCACTTGCATATTATTTTGCGCAATTCCTCGTTGCTTGCCAAGCTTTTCACGGCAGGCATGGCAATTTTGGAAATTTTTAAGTCAATAATCAAATGAAGCCTCTCTTTTTTTATCTATACATGGTTACATTGATAAGGATACATAGAAAAGGTCAAAAGACCAGACTCACCGGGACGCTCTGTACAATATTATTAGAATCAAATAACGAAGGCATTAAAATGTCAAGCAAAAATATATGTCAATGAAAAAAACAAGTATTAAACAGTATTAAATTGATTAATAATGCCTCCAATTATAGTAAAAATTTATCTGAGAAGGAATATTACTATAAATGGAGACATTATTCATCAGTTTCTTAACACAGAGAACCATTTTCTAGTTATATAAATATTAAATACACATCCATCCATACTAACAACGAAAGCGTGCAATGAATGCCAGCATGAACAGTAATAATGCATTTCACGTAATGTTAACATATTAATTTGCAATAAAGAAAAAAGTGCAAGAACGCAGTACATGGAATGGAATGAAAAAACTTTATTTTGGAATGAAAAAAAAACTTTATTTTACGCAGTACATGCTATAAGAATAATTTACTGATACAAAAAAAATCATTGAATCACAGAACTGTCTCCTGCTCTGTTGCTTTTGTTGACTCTTGCGGTAACACTGACCCATTTTCAGAATTGATTGCTTGGAACCATTTTTTTTTTTTTTTTCATTGATGGTGCATTGATCTCGCTGCTCGTGGTTGTCAAGCATGTAATAGTTTTGTGAAGTTGATAATGGCACCATTTATGGAGGCATTAGTTGGTGGCAACCTGCGCAAAGCCACAAAAAAACCTGTGCGTATTCCTAGAATGAAATTGTCTGCATTAATGAGAAATGCATTGCCACGAAACCATTGTTCATCCATTTACATTAGGCTCGCATCGATGAAAGCCACTGGCATTGGTGAAGGTTGTAGTTATTCGCACGTACTGCGGCTCATCCTATGGCCATAGTTGAAGGGGGGGGGGGATTCAAAAGTAAGAACATGGTGAAGGAAAACGGTGTGTGGCAATTGCAAATTCGTTGTCAACAACGAGCTTTACTGGGCAGAGCATCCCAGGATTCAATAGTTCTGGGAATATCGTACTGCTATAGCGCAGCTCAGTTTGAGCATGAACAAAAGAGGCAACAACAAAGTGAAAGACGGGGAACAGGATGAGCGATAAACTTCCAACTCCTGTTTATTGCATGATCCTACGGCACATTATATGGCTGGCTCGCCTTACAGTACACAGGGCGTGGGCATGTGTGCGGAGTCGCATGCACAATCGATTGAGCCGTATAGTGCTTGGAAAGTCATGCTATCAAGTTTAGGCGCTCCTTCTGTTGCCTGTGTTCTCCCTTCTTCGCTGTGCCCCGCCGCGGGGGTCTAGTGGCTAAGGCACTCGGCTGCTGACCCACAGGTCGCGGGATCGAATCCCTGCCTGCAGTTTTTCGATGAAGCGGAAACGCTGTAGGCCCATGTGCTCAGGATTTTGGTGCACGTTAAAGAACCCCAGGTGGTCGAAATGTTTGGGGCCCTCCACTACAGGCGTCTCTGCATGATCATATGCTGGATTTTGGCAAACGTTAAACCCCTCACATCGATCAATCCCTTCTTCGCTGTTACCTCTTTTCTTCATGCTCAGAGCTGCGCTATAGTAATACGATACAATGCACTTCCATGCCCATTCTGCAGTACTTGTAGAGTCCTTGGACTAAGACTATTCCTCAAAGTCTTGTTGCAGAGGGAAAAAGTTTCAAAACTCATTGCTGCTTCCTGTGGCTAGGAGCCTTGCACACGATTCACATATATTGAAGGATGAGTGTTGTAGTAAAGGAAGCAGCAAGTGTAATAGTTGGATATGTGTTGTTATGCCAGTGAGAAACATGTGAAACGAATCCTAGCCAAATTAGTTCGCATAAAGATGCGACCATCATAATGATGGTACAAAATAAAATTCCAGTTCTCTGAACATGCTAAATGCTGTTATTTGCACAAAATTAATAAGGGTTTCATATTAGTATCCTCTATGCAGTCACTGCATGAACCATAATACCATGCAATATACTACATAACCAGTTTTGGGGATCTTTGGCTGAACCATGGCCCTTGTACCACTAAATGCCATACGTCATCATCCATACAGTAGCATATTCAAGAATAGGTTACAGGAGTGTTACTTCTAATGCATTGAAAGTTGTTTTGTCAGATCTTTAGCTCTTAAAAGTGTGCCATAGTGTACACCTACTTTTTGCTCAAAGAGAAATAGCTTGTTTCTCTTTTTTTTTTTATGCCGCAGAGCCAGCCATGTCGTCAACATCACAGAAACATCGCAACTTTGTCTCCGAGCCGATGGGCGAGAAGGCGGTCACAGACCTTGCCGGCATCGGCGAGGTCCTCGGCAAGCGATTGGAACAAAAGGGCTTTGACAAGGTGAGGCTCCTACAGTGCACTGCTGGCAAATGCAGCACATTCTCGTGGCACATTCTGCGATGGAGCGGAACCTAACGTCTCAAGAGAATAAGAGGGAGCAAACGTCCATAAATGGACAAGCGCCCCTGCAAGAATACCTGTCTGCTGGGGGACCATATAATTAATTCTGAAGTCTATTCAAAGTGGCCAGAAACAACATCGTAACTTAAAATTCATTCTCGGCGGCATTGTTCCTCAAAGCTTGTAACTGAACAGCATGACTTTTTGCTTGTGTTATTGTCTTTATTGGGTTCACTATAAATTCAGTGGTGGCACTGGTGGCCATTTTCACTCGCTATAAGCGTGGGGTTGCATTTAGCGTGAAAAGAAGCAAGCTAATTCGCTTGTCTAGCTCGAGTCTTTACGTTTGAGACTAAGCCAAGTCAACCAGGCTGTTCTATATCCATTTTTATGAAAAAAGTGGTGCCTAGCTAATGACAAAATGATTCAGCACTGTCTTTTTCGGTTGTTTTCGGTTGCTGTTCTCACGTTTGACAGAGACATGCCTGTACCGGTACCATGCAGTGCAATGGACTGTTCAATCATGGAATATGTACACAATCGCACCCCTCTTTGCAATCGAATGTCACTGAGGCAACTGCGATTCAAGTGGACGATAGTTTACCTAACTTGAGTGGAAGCTCTACTTTTATTCACATTTCAACGACTATGGACTTCTATGCTCTCTGAACACTTGTTCTGAACAAGTGCATGCATTAAAGCATATATAACTTCATTCTTCCTAAGTTGTAACATAAAATTAGTGCTAATGTACTCGTGAAGCTCTTTTCTATCATTTTGACTAGTAAGAATTTGCTTTGAAACATCCGCACCTAATGTCTGACTGGCTTGCCACATTCAAAGGAGATTCAGCAACCAAGTTGGAATCTTTGACCTCAAATGCTGGTATTGCTTGCAACCTTTGTTTGTAAATTGACTATTTGAGCAAATCTCCAAGCTGGCTTTTCTGCTAAGTTGTTTTCCAACCTAAAGATCTCGTTCCCGGACTGCTTTTCTCACCCCTTGTGTTTTTGCTTTCCCCCACTCCCTTCTTTATGAATGGCAGGCGTCTTGCCCGCCATGCAATCTGAGGGTTCGTTCGAGGTGGGACAATCACATAGTCACTGTTGGGGGGGGGGGGGGAAGTCGTTTTGTTGCACTCGCATGCCTTCACTGGAATAGGATTAGTAAGCACAGTGCGAAAAAAAAAAAGCAATGTGGGCACAAGGGATGGAAACTCGCCTTGACGATTTTTGCGAATGATCCTTTACAACCTTGTGACATGCGGCATGATTTCTATTGTTTTTTTTTTTTAATTGTCAATTAAAATTCACCGAGAGTTTTCTTTGCCCCATTATTGACCATGCCGCCCCCGACCATGTTTACTTCGCTCGGCCGTCTGCCTCAAAACTACTCGTGAACTACTATAAATGCTCGAAAAACACCCTTTCAATTTGAAGAAAAAATTCACTCTGTTGCACAGAGTGCGGTTTACCCGTACTGTTTTCAAACGTTGAACTTTTTTACGACATTGAGCAGTTTCACTGTTGTGTAATGTGCCTAAGAAGTTGTTAGCATAAATGTGGGCGTAGTGAGAAGAGCATAAGGTATGTCCCGATCATCTTTCTGCCTGAATTGTCGATAGCAGTATGTACTGTAGTCGCGCAAGGCATCCCCTGATACCAGATTAGTCGCAGATTAAAGCGCTTAACCGGTATCGTCCTCCCATTCTTTCAGGCGTTTGTTGTCCTCGGGCAGTTCCTGGTCCTGAAGAAGAACAAGGACATCTTTGTCGACTGGATGAAGGACACCTGCGGTGCCAACACCAAGCAGGCAACAGACTGCTACCAATGTTTATACGACTGGTGCGATGAGTTCTTGTGAAGCGTTGGACTTTTTCAACAGCGACCAGCCAACTGTAAATACCAAGGGGACTATCTTGGTTGTACTACTACACCTATTGTATAACTGAGTGGATTTTCCCTGAGGATTCTTTTAAAACTCTGTGTTTTATTTTATCAATAAAGTATTTTATTCCTTGCTGCTGATTTTTCTTTGGTGTCTGCATGCATATGTATTTCATAAGGAATTGGAATTGAAATAACAATAACAGGAAAACCTGGAATTTTACTTGGTGCAATATGTACAAATGGCAAACTATGACATAATTTTCTAGTCCATTCTATTTTAATGTGAAGTTGCTGAAAATGTGTTTACATGAAACATGTTCTTGCATGGCCCTAATTAATCTACACACATGTCATGCATGAGGTCCTTATCTGTGTGTCTGACGGGCATCATACACCAGCGTCCCTAAATTTACCAGTGTATAACTGTTGTATATTGCCAGTAATAAAGTGAGGCTGCAACTACAAAGAATTCCTGAAGACCTGGAATGAATCGGAGAATAAATCGAGTAGCAATCATTCGCATCATAAATGGCCTCGTATTATGTGAGCAAGATGGGCATGGGATGGGAGACTGCAGAAGAGAGCAGTTCAGACAAAATGTAATCTGTACTACACTGGGTAAGTATATCATTGGGTGAGGCCTTTGTGCAGAGGTAGATAGGATGAGGGTATGTTTATCTGATTTCATGTAATAGCTCAGTCACTTGGACGTTGAAAGAGCAAGCTGGAGCATAGCTCTGCTCCTCTGCACAGTGTTGTATGCATTAATTGGCGCTGTGTCCCATCTTGCCCTTTTTTCCATCCATGTGATCCTTCCTGCCACTGCTTGACTTATGCACTAGTACCAACTAGCCATCTGTCAATTTGCTGTTTATCACATTATGAAAGTGTATTTGAAACAATGGTATGAGGGATTTCGTTTCCATTACTGAAGTATTTGTGGAATCTAAGTGTGAGAACAAAAAGGTGCACTTTCTTACCCTGAAGTTTTTGTTCAAGGATATTTATACATTGTTAACAAGACCCCTAGCTTTGTTGGGAATACTGGTACCCTAACCTGAAGCTACGGGGAGCTCCACCATTGAGCGCATGGCTAAGTATTTCAGCGTGTAGCTTGGGATAGGCTTAATTAAAAACGGGAAGTTGGTAAGTGAACATACCTTTTACTATATGGGCAGTGCAACTTGTACAGACAACTAAAAAGTACGTACACAAACACTAGTGTTATCAACCAATTTTTTTACGAAAAAGCATTAAAGAGCTCCTTTTGCAGAAATGTCTACGTGGGCGTTGTTGGTTGTGAGCGAAAGATTGTCTTGTCCATGACTGAAAAACCAAGAACGATAGAAATAATCAATTTTCTGAGTGCGAGTAAGGATCGAACCTGGACAACAGGCATTTTACCACGCAGTCACGATATTTGTTGAAACTGTTGGGGGGGAGGGATGTAATAGAGGAGTGTCGTTAACTCATCACATGTTGCTTGGTAGAAGTGTGGAATCGTGCCAGCTAGACGTCAGATGTGCCACATGAGGCAGCTACTGCATACCGTCGACGCTATTACCACTGAAGCTGACAACAGAGCTAGCCACTTCACGAGGAGGAAGGAAGGAAAAACTTTATTCGCAAGGGTTTGGGACAGTGGTCATGAGCTTGGTGGGTGGGGCCCCAAGTCCAGGGCTCTACTGGCTGCTGCCGCCTGCCTGGCATGACGCAAAAGTGCAAGCTCTGACCCTCTGGGTCAGAGCTGGCGAGCTGTGCCTCCCATTGCTCGAAAGTATTGGAAAGCTTGTACTGACCTAGAAAGCTATCTAAATTTGGTGGTCAGTTTAGGCATCCGCACAAAATGTGGCAGAGCGATGGCGAGCCGGCCGCCACATGACGTACAAGCATGCCCATACAGCGTTAGAAAAAATTTGTGTAATCTTTGAATATTGGGAAAGACTCCCGTTTGAATCCTGCGGAGGTCAATCGCGTCCTCCCCTTCTAATGATTTGTGGAGGGGCGGGGGGCTGTATTTTTGTTGCATGCCTCGTTGGTTAGCAAGAATTTCGTGAGGGGCCATTCTGGATGGGTCATTATCCTCCTCGATAGCTTCCTCCTGTAGTGCTTCAAAGCATTGAAAGTCGTGGTCGAAGCTCTGCTCAGTTCGTGAGCCCTAGAGCAAAAGCGTCGGCATTATCGATTCCCTCCAGGCCTGCGTGTCCTGGACACCAGATCAGCCTGCATTTGTTCGTCGATCTTCCGCCTAAGAATTTGCTTATTTTTATCGGAAGGCGGCCTCTTAAAAAAAAACAGCACGCTTCCTGCGAGTCGGAGATTATAATTGTCTGCGGTTCATCTCTGTGTTCCTGTGCTTTATTGCAAGGGCAATGGCAAAGCATTCCGCCTTGACGATCGAGGACGTGTACAGCGATGCACATGCCACCATGCTGTTATCGTTGCTAAGTACAGATTCAACTGACCGTTTAAAATTGTACCTCGAAGCGCCCACATACAAAACATTTAATTTTTTTTTTCAATGTTTTTCGGAGCCATTGCACTCTCTACTTTCTGCGCTTTTGTTTGTTTTTACGTCCATGTTCTTGGGCAGCGGTGAGATCAAGATCTTGCTGCGGACGGGATGCGGGATTTATACAAGAACCTCGTCCAGGTTTTGGAGCTTTTCTTACAGTGGCTTCCCAACAATGTGCGCATAGTCCTCGTCTTGGCCGCCGACAAAGATTCGACTCAGTTCGCCGAGTACCAACGAGCTGCATGGCAACCGGGAGCAGATATTCCGCCTCACCGATCAGTCGAAGACGATACAGGCCCGCAGAACACCGGCGTTCTGCAGCACAACGAAGGACCTGCTGGTACTACAAAAACACGGCAACGCTGCGCTCGCTAATGAATTACTAACACTTGCTCACATTACATGAGAATATGAATTAAAGGCCACTCAAAATTAACACGCCTCAGATTCCGGCAAGAAAATTCAAGACGGAGCAATGGGAGACCTTGCTCGCCAGCAAGGAAAAGGAAGGCCCAAGCGGTACTCCTGGACAATTGAGGCTGGGCGGGTTGCTGAGGTCAGTGAGGCCCTGCACTATGTTTGGTTTTTCCTTAAAGTCCTGGCGCAAGCCACCACGAATAGGGGCCCTACCCACTTGCTCCTAACCCTTCTTATCTTGTTTATATTCAATAAACGGTTTTCCATCAATGCATACCACTTGTTATCATGAGGGAAACGAATGCGGCCGGCGCTGAGGGCGACCAGTGGACACCTCAGAGCGTCGTCCATTTATTCCTCACCAGCCGCGAGAGTAGCGTGCCATTCCTCATGGACACTGAAGCTGAAGTGAGCGTGTTGCCTGCTCAGGTACTCCTGGACAATTGAGGCTGGGCGGGTTGCTGAGGCCAGTGAAGCCCTGCACTATGTTTGGTTTTTCCTTAAAGTCCTGGCGCAAGCCACCACGACTAGGGGCCCTACCCACTTGCTCCTAACCCTTCTTATCTTGTTTATATTCAATAAACGGTTTTCCATCAATGCATACCACTTGTTATCATGAGGGAAACGAATGCGGCCGGCGCTGAGGGCGACCAGTGGACACCTCAGAGCATCGTCCATTTATTCCTCACCGACCGCGAGAGTAGCGTGCCATTCCTCATGGACACTGAAGCTGAAGTGAGCGTGTTGCCTGCTCATAAAGTCCCTGAAAAATAAACTTTTTCAAATATAATTTAAAAAGTAAAATTTTCAGGGACTTTAGCCTGCTCAGTCCTCATTACGCCCCCCTTCAGGCGCTAAACGGCACGTGGTTTCTCTGGGGTTCAAAGCTGGCAGAAATATTTGGTGCTGGACAAAGGATAGAATGATAGATGTCAGCGTGGGCTCGATGTACTTATTCAGTGAGTAATTCAACACACTTTATTGAGTCCTAGGGTACTACGCAGTCGTAGTGGATGAATATGGCAGTCATTAGGAAACAGAAAGTATTAATACTCGTGAGCAATGATCAAAATATCGCGCCCTTTTGGGCTTAGCCAATCAGACACACGTTGGCCGAACCCATCTCTCCTACGCCGTGTACGCTCTCGAGTGCACGGAGGTTGTGTTGGTTGTGTTAGCACGTTAACCTGGTGTTGTGGGACAACCGATGAATTACATGGATGTCTTTATTACGTCGCTGTAGCCGTTAATCACCGCGCTGTTTCCGTATGTCACGATGAAGGTCCAATGACGTATACGGCTTCGCATCGTCCCTGTGTTCTCTGTGCGCTTTGACCGAAGAAGGGAAGTGAATGTGTGTGCCATCGAAACCACCAAATCTCCGCCGATTGTGGCCCCAAAATATGATCACATCGGCCAGTAAGCGCACTTAAATACGCCACAGATCAGGCGTGAATTGATCGTAGTGCGACACTTGCGTAAAGAGACTGCGATTTCTCCAAAGTAGGTGGGACCCGGCACACGCGGAAGTGTCCATTGCCACAGTTCGTGCTTCACAGCTAGCCATTATGAACAGCCATCGCATCGGAAGCACCTCGGCATTCTGGCTTGATGACACATCGTCTCTGGTAACTTATTTATTCGATTCAAGCGTCAGATGGAAGGCTTGTCGTTGTGATGCGTCATTGCGTGTGCCGATCGAGACGAACATGATATGGTGATCCTGCTTGCCTCGATACTTAGCTGCCCGTGCTCGCTGCATGAATAGCTCGTCTGTTATAGATCGTATTCAATGCTGGACTGGATAAATCGTCTTAGTTTCTGGATTCGATAGATCGTCTGAAATACGAATTCGACCCAGGACAGACTAAGAAATACTGATGCACTGCTAGGACAAGCGCGATAAGGCTCCTTCTCTGACCTGTGTTGAATTACTAGCCCAGTAACTAATTTCGTTAAGAAAGAACGTGTTCGCACTGAGGTATGTACTACTGTGGTGCTTTAGTGATATCGAAAAAAGTAGCAAGAAAAAAAAAAGCTTGCCATTGTATATTCATGTGGAGAAACAGTCATGCATTAATTATTAAGAAGTTAGCATATCATGGCAAACATAAACTACAATAGCGGTATTGATAATTTTGTGATGAGCCGCTGAAGTAGTTTAAGTTTTACGCAATCCAGGGTGCTTTGCTTGAAACAAAAATTGTTGCATCAGGTTGTAACCTGAGTAATAACCATGTAGTCCTTGAAACGAGTAGTTTGAAATGGTGTGAGCAAAGTTTTGCATCAGTGTTCGATACCATTGTGCATCCGTTGTATGCTATCCTTCAGGATACCTATGTTAAGTTATGAAAATAGCATATCAAATCCAATGAACGCTGTCTGCTTATCTATTTTAAAGCTGCCTAACGAGTTGTCATGAAACTGCAGAAAGAAGCAGCTCGGCTGTCGGCCCAAGTCAAGCAAGACGCAGACTTTGGGCCCGACCCGTTCAAGCAGTCCACCATCGACGACTGCCTTGAGCAAGTAGTGCAGTCTAAAAACAAGTGAGCACTTTTTGAAAACTATCTTCCGGACAGCTCGAGGATTTTTCTTTTCTTTTGGCACAGAAAGGAACTGAGCGGTGACGATGACTACTACTGGAACACCTCTGCCCATGTTGCATTCAACTTCGACGATGTGGTAATGCAAAGTTGTTTGCAGCGTGACTGGCTCATTGCTGCGAAAATTTCTAATTATTGCCTTGTTGACTACAGGATGACGACGGGAGAAGGAACGTGCAGTTCAACAAGAGAGCACAGTCTTCTGTGAACAATGTGAGAAAATTTAGCTTCGACGAATCGAACCGGGTCACTGCAGAAGCCTGTGGTAAGTAGTTGCGGACAAATATACGGAATACTAGTGACAACTTTTTAATTCAATACCAACTTCAACGACAAAACCGTTGCGAACTTGCCTCCATCATCTCTGTAAAAATTTTCTGCCTCCTGGAATCTGCTCCCGGCTTGTGCTTTTTCTCTTATAATATAAATGGTAGGCGTATCAAAACATAAAAGCTAGTTGTTATTAGTTTTTATTAAACTCAGCAATAATACCAAGATCTCTGTAAAATTTGCCACAACATTCAAGTTTCATTCTAAAACCAGAAACAAAGATTTTCTTCATAAAATGAACAGTGTTAAATCCGCCAACCCACTTGACATTATTGGAATGAGTTAACGTAATCGGCTGGCACATCTACACAAATCCTCTTTGCGGTTGCACAGCCAAACCCCATAACTGAAGTCTTATGTTGTCGTTGACTCTAGGAGGAGCCTAAATTTGTAATTATTCTTGCATTGTCACCAGCTACAGGGCCTTCCATTTTCAGCTAAGGCACAATTTTTCCCAGTCTTTGTGCCACAAATCGCAGATAATTCTTGAATAATGTGAATCCTGAATGTGACGGGTCCTAGATATGGGTTTATGCGAGATTGGGCAAATTGTGAATTCGTACACGCACAAGATATATTTAATTTCTGTAATTTTTAAGGTGTCACCCTTCCTTCTCCTGGCTCGAACTTGAGGCAAGCGGGCCTGGGCCTCAAGCACGCCTCAAGCACAAGCACGCCGAAAGGCTGTGCACAAGCACGCCGAAAGGCTGAGGATCGGCCATGATGTAAGTTCTTTGTATTGACTGAAGCAAGAAGTAGTTAGTGGCACTTTCATGCGTGGGGTCATGTGCTCCGTTCAATTTTCAGGTTCCTACAAAAGGTCTCAAAAGTACAAACACCCCCGAGGAGACTGTGAGGAACATTGTGATAGGTCAGGTAGGGCACCCCGTGTTTGCACTCTCTTTGCGATTGATATTGCGAGTTACATTAAGGCTGCACAGTGCTGTGCTTGTTCTTAGTGTGATCCATAGAGAGATATTATACTCAGGCCATTGTATGCATTGATATTGACATACTGCATGTGGAAGTTTCAATTAACGATACACAGCGTTCAAATTGTGGTTTCCTAGAGTTTGCGAGAAAATTATGAACAAGAGCAAGACATTGAGTTGGGTAGGTCGTGTAATGTACATAATATATAATTGCTCGTCCCGTGCACACTTGTAAAAAAAAAAAAAAATTTAGAAGGGGAAACGTAATTTTTACCCGAGTGTTGGTGACAAATTTAAACAAGACAGAACGCCCATGGAAGATGCAGAGGCTAAGAGTGGAGAAATTGTTTAACAGTAAATGTCTCTGGAGTGCTGTTTCAGTTAATTGTTTAAATTGACACAATTAGTAATTGCTGAAATGAATAGCAGTGGTTCTTTGTGCTGTTTAGCCTGTGCAAGGATTGCTTGCTGTAAAGTGATCTTGCATTATATTACTTTGAGTACTCGCAGCATTTCATTGTAAAATCGAGCATAGACAACATATGAATAGGCGAACAGTGCTGTATGTACCTCTTTGTGTTTGTCCATTGTGTATGGGCCGTTTTGACCGTCATGAACGACTAACTAGCTCGAATTACCGCCCTTCTGAAGTTGGTCTCAGTAATATTGAATTTGAATACAAGTCTGCATGGTTGGTCTTGGAGATTGCATTTCAACATGTGTGGCAGCTCACATCTGAGTGCAAGATGGTGTTGTTGTCGGCCATTTTTTTTTGTTCCATTTGGTCTTTCACAGGTGCTGTCTTCTTGTTTTTGTAACAAAGTAGGAACTGACCTGCTATTCCAACTTGCAGGTCTTGCAAGGTTGTTTATATTGGGTGTCATTGGAGCAAAGCAGAAATACCTCCACATGCCATATATGGGTACATTTTGGTGCTGCTGTATCGAGTGGTAGCTGATCAAATATGATTGCAATATTGCATCCTCACATTCTTTTTTATTTCTCGTGCATCTAGCCTTACTTCCTTGGTCAGCATCGTTCGAAAGAAGACAAAATTGCTCTGCTGAATGAGGCTGTGCGCATTCAAGATGGAAATGCCATAATTGCTGTAAGTTCATTTGTTGCAGTTTGTTAATAGCACACATATTTCATTATATGCAAGGATGCTAGTTTTGAAGGAATGGTAGGCTGTAGACTAAGATCACTCCAGTTACTGCGGTAGCAGTCAAACTGTAGTGTCATACATGTCTCAGAAGCCGACTGTGCTGTCCGTTCCTCTCAAAATAAAACATGCTGACGTATAGCTGTCAATACTATTATGGTATTGCATTGTTGACCACTGAAGATGCAAGCTTTAATTAGAGGGCATTGAATGTGAGGAGGTGGGTTCTCAAAGCTGTTAAAATGATGTAGTGTAAACAAAGTGTGTGAAAATAACTGTCTATTTTGTCAGATTATGTGCACTTTCACGTTAGATGATCAAAGTGCAGTCCTGTTATGTCTTCTATAGCCTATGTGCTCTCACTCACTCTCACTCAATCAATCAATCAATAAAATGGCCACAGACTGTAGTGTCTTCATTACTGCGTAGAAGAAAGAGCATGAACTGTCACGAAAATATATGTCGCTGATGTGTGCAGGTCTTGCTGTTTCTGAAAGAAACCCTGAAGCAGTCTCTGTTCAACCAAGAGCTGATGCAGCGACCGAGGGCCGTGTCTCATTACCTGAGTCACCTGCGTGCTGTGCAGGACAACAGCCAGCTTATGGATGTTCTAGGGTGAGCACGTTTGGTTCTAATAAGGCTATAAGTAATCAGAAGAAATTTTTTTCAAGTGTTAGATGCCATGACCACCACTGTGCACTGTCTCTTTTTATAGTGTGCGTCACACCCACCGGTGGGACACTCCACAGATAAAACAAGACCTCGAAAAATCTCGCCACAGTCGCTGTGTTAACGTTGTCGCCATTTGTACTTTTTCGCTGCTTACACAAGTTCTATGCATATCAATAAGAAGTTCCTTGTCCCCCTTTAAGATAGATGTTACATTTTCCGAGGCAGTGATGTTGGAGTCCTTGCTAAGATTTCTGACTGAGGACCAGTTTGCAGGTTCTGAGTCAGTTTGCAATTTGCAGGTAGGCAACCAGTATCACATTAGTACTGTAATGTAACCCAGAAACTGTGAAATTTGTTTTCGAGTTATCACTTCCACATAGATCATTAAATGCTCACGCTTTCCTTTCTCACGCCAGAATGCTTGGCAGGGCTGAGGATGCCGCTGTAAGTGTTACTCTCAACTGTACATTTTTTTTGTGTGTCACGCCGTATGAACGTAGACTCTTAAGTTAAGACTGACTTTGTTTCTCAGATGATAAAGTACAAGCTTGCTGTGGAGACACCGGAAGCCGCAACAAGGCTTCGAAACCTGCAGTCATGTTACAAGTGAGCTCTCTACGCAATGAATGAATGAATTATTTCATTGATGAATGAGCTAGTGAATGAATGAAACATATTTCACTGTTCGGTTGCACCTACCCTCCTGCAGATCGCACTTCCAGTCTGACGCTTCACTCGAGGCTCAGGCTGAACTGGTCAGAGAAGAGCTGAAGCTTCTCGAAATGCAACTCACCATTGAGGTAAACCGAGCTGTATTGGTTTGCCGTTAGCTTGTTTGTCTGCTTTACTACACTAAAGAGAAAAACATTTAATCTCATATTAGTGAATTACTCTTTCACAATTCCAAAATCACCATGCCTATGTGAGAAGACATTTGCTGACCAAGATAGCGTGCAAAAATAAAATGTATCTGGCGACTCCCCTTGAAACTTTCTCATCAAATGGGGTGACACCATAAATTTTGATGGTGTCTGTGACCTACGCAGTTCCTTATTGGTAAAATTAGGTACATTGACCACTAAGGCGGCCGGAAACTTAACACACCTAGTTTGAGGAAATAACGTTCAGCCTATGTCGTCAAAATACGTATTAAAATGAGTGACATCCTCTGTGAACACTGCGGCGCGAAGTTTAAAATGACACTTTGAACTTGACTCTTTCTTCTATTATTGAACTTATGATGGTGAAAATAATTAGAATAATGTTCTCAGAGTATGATTTATCACTCTAAACCGATTCATTGTTTTTACTTCAGTGTCCATTTAAGGAATCCTGACGCACATTTTGCAGGAACAGGACTCCAGAGCCGAAGTGGAAGGTCAGAACATCCTGATGCAAGAGTTTCCCCGCAAGGCGCCTGTTGTGGGAACATCTCTGATCACGACGCTTTACTACTGCTGTCTCTATCATTACAATGTGTCAAACGTGAGTGCTATGTCCCCCAATTGAACCGCTTGCTTGGAATTCAGAGATTTGGTTCGATTTGCCAACAATTTACAATGTTTGCAATTGTGTTCCAGAACCACATTGCCAGTCCCAGCCAGATGAAGGCTGTATTCAATGTGAGTGTTTCGTTTTGGAATAACTAAATGGCCATGTTACACTGCGTACTTGCACTCTGATTAAGAAGACAGACAAAAGAGGTCATACACATGCACACATCTGTGTGCACTGTGTGTTTGGTGCATGTAAATGCCAGTTGACGACTGCTACCTTTATTTTTATTCATTGTGCTCTTGTTCTTCAAGCCATGCAGTGATGTAGGGATAGTGCATGGACCTTAAAGGGCCCCCTAAACCACCTCTAATATTTTTTCACATTTCAAGTAAACACGCGCATCGTGCGCAGATTGTCCTCGCGATAAGTGATTCCACAAGTGGCAGTGCTATGAGCAGCCGGCGCTCCACAAATTCCAAGAAACAATCCCTCCTCCTCTCCGAGCCTTACTGGCCCTCTGCGTGACGCCGAAAATATCAATCTCTGACGCGCAGCACATTGATGGTGTGATTAGTTGAGCAAAAACCCTATGACTTCTGGTTACTCTGCAAGCAGATGTTCGTGCTTCTTGTCATTATTCATTGTGTTGCCTGCATGCGGCGTCTCCCAGCAGCACATGCTTTCCTGCGCATTTGCACTGGCCATGCGCAGACCGCACGTGCACTACTTGCGCTAGGCGAGAGGGCAAAGTGACCTTGGGTGAAGATACGATCAGAGGTTAGCGAAGGATAGAGCGAGAGGAGTGATTCGCCGTGTTTCGATAATCGAATGCGTCGAACTCCGCTATTACGGGACCGTTTAGAAAAATTCTTGGGTCTCCCTGTTCGTTGTGCACTCATGCATGTTTTATCATTGCTTGTTGGTCGAAGAAAAAAATGTTGGCCCTACCCACAACCAACCGCTGTACCTCCCATAAGGAATTTGCTTAAACGATCATACTCATTTTTGTGATGTAGGTCACTCCTGGAGAGCCTTAGATAGATGACGTGTTGCAGATTTTAGGTAGAAAATTTGAACGTGCTAGTAAACTTCATGAGGGATTCAGGCATTGTCGCTCAGCCGAACTTGTTTTTAGGTAGTAGCGATGAACATTCAACTCTTAATATGTGCAGTATTTGCCGAAAAAGACTACTTGTAGTTGAAAAAGAAATGAGTCTTTCACATCTGAAGGCATGTAGCGGTTGTGTGTGCGGAGCTTACATTTTTTCTTGCGTTTTAATCGACTGTAGCGCCTCGCCTCTTTCCTTTCGCTACCCTATTGAAGCTTCCTCCTGTTCTCGTATTCCACACAGTTGACCGAGAAACAATTTGTCTGGACTGCTCTGACTGCCCTGGCCCAGATAAAACATTGGAAAGAAATTGACAACCTGTTTCAAGGCAAGGTGAGAGCATTCGGACAGCTCTGCTTACCGTCTGGCCAGGAAATTGCACCTGCGAACTACGCATGCTTGAAGACGTCCTTTTTTGCGCGTTATGAAAGGCAAAGGAAAATGCAAAGGACCTGAAATCATGTCCTTGTTATTTTGCAGTCTTGGCTTGGCAAATCGAAAATGCGGTGCTGCATTGGCTTCGACAAGGCTGTCGAAATTCTGGCTAAGGCACATGCCCCACCCGAGGTATGCCAATTCCAAACTTCTACTGTCTGTGTGATTATTTTATGAAGCATTGCAATGACCTGCCCTTTTAGTCCTTAAGTTTTTTTTTTCTCTTGCGAAATAAATTCATCATTTGTAGTGAGAGCAAAGATTTTGCGACATGTTTGTATGAAACGCATTCATAGTGTGAAGAACAAAAAGTAATTTAGTACCTCCAGTTCTGTTATTGTGTTGCAGAATTACTAGCAACAGGTGCTAAAGCATTTGGGATAATCATTGCCCAACCAAAATTTCACTTTTCCCGGCGACTTTCATCTAGGTGTTCGAGAGATACCTCCAAATGGTTGACGACTCGGAGAAGCGACTGACACTGGCAAAGGCGCACAAGTGTCACAGTGTTGTCATTGAGGTGAGCCTAAGCTGCCCATTTTAATGTCAGCTCTCATGTTTTGGGACGACTTTGCTTTGTCATGTTCATCGAATACTGATGTTGCTATGGCGCGTTACTTTCAGCAACAAGAGACCAGTGAAGGCTAGCAAGGCGAAGTAAGCAGAATGCTGTGATAGTGTGCTTTCAGCACGTCTATGGTTTCTGTTGTATATTAACGATGCGTTCATTAATTGAGTGCGTGACCAGTAAACAAGCCATATTTGGTGACGGCCTAAGGATGTGGCAATTGTTCTGCTAGCAACACCATAGCTAAACCACAATATTTATTCCATCTGTTTTCACTTGCAGACGCTAGTTTACCTGAGAGATCGGCAACGGCTGCTCAGGTACAAGAGTGAAGTTCAGCCACAGTCCACGGCGTTCTTTGAGATTGAAAGGCTCCTTAACGGCACGGTAAGCTAGCTTCAGTGATCGTGTATCCTTGCCAATTAGACTTTATCATGGCTATAAGCGGCACTGACTGAATAAAGTGCTGTAGCTCGATTGGCAGTGCACTGGACACATTGCATGAAGATGGTGAAAGTGCTCATGCCACGTTTCATTTCCGTGTTTGTGTCGTTGCACTGCGGGCAACGTACAGCTTCTCTCACAGGCACCAACTGTCAAGTGCAGAAAATAACCAGTTTCTGGACTTTGGAAAACACTGCACGTGTGCTTGCAAAATCCAAGTCAAATTCACTAGGACAGCTTTGTAAATGTAGGGGTTGCTACTGGCCCATTCTTCCCAAGTCATAATTCACTAGAGAACTCTCGCATGCTATTAATTGCTGTTGCACACTAGCACGAGAAACAGTATTATTAGTTGACTGGACAGATTTAAACAGCTGTGTGGTATTACTGCATGTAAACAAATGCATTAGCATGCGATTCTCTTGCATGACAGTTATCGGAAACAGAGTGTTCAGTTCTGGTAAGATGTCATGCAGCGTCAACGAGATCCTAGAATGAGCTCAAAGTCAAAGGCTCATTGAAAAATTTCGATGAGATGGCAGGTATAGTGTGCATACAGACTTTGTCAAATAATTCAATTACCCAGATACACTCAAACCTCGTTATAACGAAGTTGCATCTTAAGGAAGATAAGTTTGTTTATCCGAAAATTCATTATGAAGGTGTACTCTTGACACTATATTTATTGGTAGACTATTTTTCATTTACTTTGTTATGGCCAATATTTGTTACACCCGGGTTCGTTATATAGAGGTTTGAGTGTAGTTGCGTTTAGGAGTACCACGTGCACACTTTCACATAGCTGTGCAGAGAATGTTGTCCAGCAGTGCAGTGCCCTAGAGATAGCAATTTAGTATGAAAGCTTGGGCGTGTTGGTAACCCACTTACAAAACAAATACTGCATGAAATAAAGGGAGACAAAAAAGACCGATGCACATGTCCACTTTTCTTGTCCCCGTTCATTTCGTGGTGTATCTAGTATTTGTAAATTACAGATTGCACCCTAAAGTGAAGTTTGGATGTCGCGCTTGATGCCTTTTTTTTTTTTCTCTCCAGGCTGTAAAATGGAAGAACTGAAGCAACCATTTTTCCTATTTGTAAATAAATAAAAAAAAACCCGTAGGCAACCATGTCACACCGGATAAAAAAGAAAGTGGCAGCAGCGAGCAACCAAATTTATGCATGAGAAATCTTGTCTTTTTGTCTATCCCAGTTTTATTGCATAAGAAATTTTATAATGTCTTATATAACTAAGTAAAAAATGAAATCACCAAATGATGTACACTTAACACTTATGCAATTCTTAAACTATGTAAAAAAGAAACAAACCTTCTTTGGTTTTAAAGTGCCATTCAACTCAAACAGGGCATAACCTGTGCTGTGTTTCGCAGCATATCACAGATGTAAGTCACAAGCAAAAAACATACAACCTTGACAGATATTGTTCTAAAAGTGTGCTCCATTAAAGGCCCCGTAAAACTACTGCAACATTTTTTCAAGCATTTCAGGTAAACGCGCACATCGTGTACAAAATGCTGTCGTGATCAACAATTCTACACGTGGCAGCACACTAGGAGCCGCCAGCGCGCCAATCTCTCCTTCTTTCCGGGCCTTTCGGCCCTCCGCGTCACGTGCCGTGCCACGTCTCTGACGCGCCGAGCCAAATATGCCAAATATGCTGGACTGGTCGAGCAAAGAGCCGACAACTTCCGGTCAGTCTGCAAGCAGCTGTCCGCACTGTTTGTCGTATTGTCCGCATGCATGCAACACGCGTGATGCACGGCGTGTCCCCATACAGGGCCATCGCATTGGCGATCTTTTGAAGGCGTGCCCGCTACGCAGGGTCCATACCGGCATGATTACAGCAGCGATGGTTTTGACAACAAGCACGTTACTGGCGGAGTCGACGGCCGGAGTCGTGGCAACCGGAAGGAGACAGGGTTTCAAGCAGCGAGTCAGCGATGACGTATGCCACGCGAGATTGGGAGGGGCTGCTCGGAGAGAGGGCAAAGCGGCGTGGCAGAGGATACCAGCGGAGGAAAGCACAGGAGAGAGCGAAAATCGAAACGCGTCTTACTCCGCTATTACTGCACCATTTCAAGATATTCTCATGGCTCCGTGTTTGTCGTACACTCGTGCACAATTTCCCCACCACAACTGAATTTCGACGTTTGGGTAATTTACGGGCCTTTTAAGACACTTGCAATAGTTGCATACATTGAAGTAAAAACGTGACTAAGCATGTATGCCGCAGCACAAATTGTGACGCGTACCATTCCTAAGATTGTGCGGTTCTCTCATAACTACTACTTTCTGGCTTATCTGCCTCGTTACTGGCAGTCTTGATCACCAAGACTGGTTAAATTAGGTGTAGAAAAGTAATTTTGAGAAGCTCTCAGTGTATTTACAGGAGTTGAAGATGCAGTATCTTGTTCACGATGGCAGTGTCTTACTGAAAGCAAAGTTTGTTTTGCCTCACAAATAAGGATTTGGTATACTCGACTTTCACAACAAATGATGCGAAGTTGCACCTCTCAATGTCACTGCTGTGCAAGGCACTGATCGCAGCATGCGCAAGCATGAATGTGCTAAAACACACAGCTCCTGAGACTTCGTTAATGTTGGTTTTCGAGAATATGTGTTGGCACACAACATTATACCAAATGTAGGCTCTGAAGCAACCCGACTGGGCCTACAGGGACCAAGACAAGGACGTTTGCAACAACGTGGTTTGTTGCAGACTACAAAAGCATGTACCGTAAAAGCCCACATATAGCTTGGACCCGCATATAGTCCGGGATGTAATTTGGGGATAGCAAACGTGAAAAAAAAAAAGTTTTCACCTTAATAAAGCCCAAGTAAAATGGAAAAATGCATTTATTGACACACTTCATTCATCGACGTAGTCGGACCCAGTCTCTCCCGAAGCTCCCTTGTCGGAAATATTATACGACAGCGCATCATCCTCAGTGTCATCAAGGGCATTTGAGATGGAGCACTTTTTGAACGCGCGGGCAACGAGTGTCTCGGGAATGCAGGCCCAAGCCTAGACTATCCACGAGCACAGCGTCGCTGGTGAGGCCCGTTTCAGTTGTCCGGCAGGGGGTCACTTTTGGTTCTCCGGACCTCATCTAATTCGCGTACAGGTACTTGACACGGTCCTTAAATGGCTTATTAAGGCACACATCAAGCAGCTGCAGCTGTGATGTAATCCCTTCCAGATGACGACGAGCTGGGTGCAGGAGTCGCACAGCCGCCGCTTTACGGAGTCGGTCAGGTGACACCGAAACCCGTTGAGCACAAGCATCGAAGGGAGCCCCAGCAGTGCTCCGGGCCATCGACACCACGCGGACTTGATCCAGTCAAGCACTAGCGATTCGTCCATCCACCCCTTCTGAAAGAGGACGACGACATTTTTTTGGAAACTTCTCCCCCTTTAGCGTCTTTTGTTTGAACAGCACGTAGGATGGTAGCTTGCAACCGTCTGGAGTGCAGGACAAGACGACAGTCAACTGCGTTTTTTCGTTCCCAGTCAGTCGCAGGATAACTTGCCTGGAGCCTTTCTGATGCATCGTCAGCGCCAAGGCCATATCCAGGTAGACTGCCGTTTGTTCCCTATTGCCGATCTGGCCAAATTGAAAGGGAACAGCCTTTTGCAACGCAATTACTACATACCGTACTTTTGAAACTTCACAAGATCCTCTTCGTAGCTCTGATAGCTTCTGCGAGATCGATGTACGCCGGCGTAGGGAGAACCCAGCGCGGCGCATGAAGAGAGACGCCCAATGCTTGCTCGCTTTAAAATCCTCCGGCTGAATGCCTTTGTCTCAAGCGATCTCCCTTGCCTTTGCTTGTAGCCCCTTGATGTTAACGTCAATATGTGCAGCTTGCTGCTCCCGCACAAAGTCTGTGAGTTCCACGTTTGGAAACGCTAAATTTCTTGGTCAGCGGAAACTTTTTCCCTGGCTGCTGCAAGCAAAGAGGACGTCCTTCTGCTTCCGCCAACCGCGAATACTCTGTTTGTTGACTCATAACTGCTGCTCTGCGGCACAGTTGCCAATGGTTTCGGCAGCAGCAATAACTTTCCCTTTGAAAGCAGCCGAGTACTGCTTGTGCAGTGCTGACATGGCGTAATATCACAGGAGCTAAATCGTGGTCGTCATTATGATTGCCAAGTTGAAGCAAAGGCCCCTGACCACTGTTGCACGCGTGGGTCTGTAAGACGCCTGCTACCGCCGCTAACACTAGCAAGCACAGAAGCGTGCAAACACCTGATGATGATAATAGCACCGCGCTATGCCGAAACCTAAACTGAATTTCATCCGAAATTCTTCGGACCTGCATATAGCACGGGGCCGAAATTTCGCACCCTAAAATCTAGAAGAGAGAAAAAAAAAAAAAACGAGCTATATGAGGGCTTTTACAGTACGTGGTTTTTAATATTTAAATATTGCTCACACATAGTCATTTGACACTGTCCCATCCGAGCACTTCTAGCGAGAAGAGTCCAGGTAATTTGGTACACGAAGCTCCCGTCGTCGTGCGGGCTCAACGGCGGCGTGGAATGTTGTGCACCAAGGGCGTCTCAGCCATCAGGCGCTCGCTCTCTTCGGCGGTGGTTCCCTTGTTTGCCATGTAAATCCGTATCAGGAATTCGGGCAACAGGACTTGGTTTAAGTAGTCGCCGCTCTGCAACGAAGGGAAGCAAGGTCAAATGCTGTTCAGAGAACTGCGGATGCTACAGCCCCACTTCACTATAACTGCTTTACTGCACAAGAATAGCCATTTGAATAACGGCATGCAAGTAAAATGCAATTTGACTCGTTACTGACTGGTAACAGAGTTCGTGACCAAGTACATACCACCCAGTTCAGGACAATTAACTATTTATCGCCACTCACAGATTTTAATACGATGCCCATGTGGATGATCACTTTGAATCCTTCATTACCGCAACACCTGCAAAGTGTAGTCCTTCCTGCCGGAATCATTTAGTAACACAGTACCACTTAGTTGTCACTTACTGGTACTTATGAAAGTGTGATGCCCATTCATGCTTAGAGACAGCATATACATCATACTGGTACTATGGATACCGACATGTATTGCTCCACAGATAAAGTTAGTGCTGATGCAGTGACAGTGTATAACAATTTAATCCAATTATATATTTGAACATCATCTTGAAAAAGCCACTGCAAGCAACTGTTAACCTCTTAGCTATGTTACTAATCAAAAGGACCTTCCAGGTAGAGTAGTACTAGGCCTTGCTGCCGCAACCTTGCATAGTTGTTAGAGTGGAATAACTGTTTGAGAATGAAGCAGTTAACAGACTGATTATTTTACAGACAATAAGGTTATCAGTGTCCTACGACAGTAGAGCTTGTGTTATGCTAGTAAATGCAACAAAAGTGGGCCTATATTTTAGAATATTTTCTTTGAATCTCGACTTTCTACTTGTAGCACACCACACCGGATCGACGGTTCCGGTCATCGCAGAAGCTCACTGGCATCCAGGCCGAAAGGTTAGGTAATTGCAAGAAAATGGACTGGATTGTTGTAATTGTAACAATCCATTTAAATTGCAAAGGCATGACATCAAGGCGTGCATCTGTGGTTACTTGGTGGCAGTTCCAAGTCTTGCAAACGTCAAACCGTTTAGGAATACACGCACCGGCTTAATGCACGAGGCTTCACTACGCCGCCCATTGGTGGTTACAGAAAGCTTGCATGACGACTATTGTTTCACGAGAGAGAAATGGGGCACTGCGGTCGTTCAGCTTTCGTTGGAACGATGCGTAGCCCATGGATTTGCCCAGTCTTCGTGCTTCTGCCTTCGAATGTGCTCGCGGCTCTGCTTAATTTTGTGTGTTGGCTATTGTTTCGGATAAAATGGCTCGTGAACACCGGAAAAGTTCCGGTGGTCCCGGAGGTGCGCGAGTCGATTTGAATTGGTCAGCCTAAAAGGCCACGGCGGCAAAGTGGGACTCCGGAAGTTTTGCTCAACCATGTCTCGCGACAGTAGGGCTGTAGGCCACACAGAGCCGGAACCTTGGGCAAATCCATGTATGCACTCAAACCTCCAAATAAAAAAGTTGAATCTTGCATGAAAATAAGTTCGTTAAACCAAAAAATCGTTATAAATGTTTACTCTTAACACTGCATCTATTGCAAGGCTATTCATTTACTTTTTTATAACCAATATTTCGTTATATCCAGGTTTGCATGTAGTTCTCACCATTACCATGCTAGCTGAAGTGTCGCACATTGCTGCTCCCATAGACACAAGCGTTATTGTGTACCATCATTTCCCTATGGTGTACCATCATAAAACTCTACAACGTCGCTAACCATGAGGTAAGTTTTTCCAGCAACAGCTGCCCCAGTTGTGTCTGACAGATGACCTGCCACTTTCTTGTGAGCAAACTCTTCCATGAGGAGGTCGAGGATGACGTCCGTCTGTTTGTCGGAGAATGGGGAAA